GTGGCCTAATCTTGGAAACAGTTGTTCAACCATTGCCACACTGTGCAGTGTTGTCTTCTTCTTCACTACCCAGTCTTGTTTTTTTAAAACATATTTTTATTAAAGATTTCTTGGCTTACAAAAGTATGTGCAGTGTCTCTTTTTTCAAGTTTCATTTTCTACAGATCAGTTTCATTTGTTGAGACATTAGTGTTACATTAGGAAGAAAAGGGGGAAAGAGGTGGGGGGCATGTGAGTGTGGGTGGGGTCGGGTGGCAATGCTTCTATTTTACTTAATGTATGTGTGGGGTTTTGTGTCAGCGTCACTTGTGCAGGTTCTCTTTACTATTCGCTTGTGTTCCTTTGGTGGTGAGAGAGGTTGGGGTTGGCCTAGGGTGTGGTTGTGTTTGTGATTGGCTGTGGTAAACTTTGTTTTCATGTGTGGGTGGGGTGGGTGGGTGTTTTTGTATCAGGTTAGCCATATTGATTCGTATGCTGTTGGTGGATTCTTGTCGTTGTCTTGTTGGGCTGTGTATGTGATATAGGGGAGCCTTACTGGTACGAAGGCGTCTTTTTCTATTTGCCCCCGTGTCAGTTTGAGTTTATTGGTTAGCTTTTCTAATAAAGCTGTTTACCAGACTATTTGATACCACTGATCCATGCTTACTCCTGACAGGTCTCTCCAGTGTCTGGCTATGATATTTCTGGCTGCTGAGAGTAGGTGGGTTATGATGTGAGTGGGCATTATTATCTTGGAAGATGTTTAGTAGGGCCACTTCTGGGATGACTTCTAATACTTGCTTAGTTATTTTGCATATTTCTTGTATGATTGTTGTCCAGAATAGTTGGATTTTGGGGCATTCCCGCCACATGTGGAGGTATGTGCCTGTGGAGATGCATCCTCTCCAGCATTTTGGTGAGGTTCCTGGGCGTATTAGCGCTCGTTTCCTTGGTGTTAGGTACCATCTGTAAGTGAGTTTCAGAGTGAGTTCTTTCCTTTTCGCTGATACGGATTTAAAGGGAGGTTTAGACCACATTCTGGTCCACCGGAGTGGGGTTAATCTCATAGCCTATGTCGTTCTCCCATTGTTCTTTGATTACGTCTAGGAGCTTTGTGGGATTTTGGAGTAGTATTTTGTATATTGCGGATACCATCCCCTTGCCGTGTCCCGTTGTTGTTAGGAGGAGGTTTTTGAACGTTGTCCGGGGCCTAGTTGCTGCTGATTTTACTCCTGAATCCTACCCAGTCTTGTTGTGTTTCCAAGTAGTCCAGCCATTCTTCCTCTGTCTTACCATTCTGAGCACAGTGTCATGCTGTTGTCTCTTCCAGCCTTTAGCAGCTACTTGCCTGTTGGAGCCCATGAATGTCCCTCATAGGGATGTGTAGGCTGCCAACTGCTTGGGGGCAGTTGCTACTTATCCCAGGAGAATTGCCGAGTGCCACATTCTAGGGCTCCCCTCCCTCCTTGTGTGTGGTTTTTTTAATACTACAAGCACTGAATATATTATCTCAACCCAGGATACATGTCTCACCTGGGACGAAGTGCACACGCGCACACACACATGGTTAGGTTCATAATTAATCACAGACTGGTTTTGCCTATCTTGGTGACCTTGATAACTAACTCAAGTTCGAATGATATGGTTTTCTGAGCTGCTTGTTCCTGTCTAAGAAGCAGTTTGGGTTTACCGGATACTCTTTTCTCACATGCACTTAATCTAAAAAACTGGAACAAAGTATTCCGTTCTGGAAGTTTGCCTGTAGAAGCAATTTCATCCTTGATTCAAAAGACAGAAGAGGTTTGATAACAAGTGGAGCAGAATACATCAATTACTTGTAACCAGACCGAGAGAATCAATATCTTGCAACTAATGGAAGGCACGACCTTTTATGATGTGGAACTTGGAAGTCTTGAAGGAAAAAAACCAAAACATTTCAACTGCCTATCCATCCGGAAGCCGAATTTATTTCCAGGACTACTACTAAATTATTTCAAAACCTTTCATAACAAGAAAACCCACCAGCCATACATGATGATACATCGGGTTTGAGAAACTGACTAATTTGGGGCCGTTTGCTTGAGTCTGCAATAGCTCAACAGTTCTACAATTTGTACAGTTTTCTATCTTATATGTAAAAGGAGCAGTTGATTGACAGGAAGGAAAGGTAGGTATTAGCTTTCCCTTTCCAATGGCTGAATCTCAGTATGGAATTTTCTGTTGAGCAAGTTCATTAGCTGCCTGGGGTTTCTCTGGGAAATTAGGCATGGTAGAAATGGTGTTAAATTAGATTAAATTCTGAACTCTTCCTTATAATATACTTTTCGGGGGAAAATAACCTGTTAGGTTATTATGGGTATTAGACCCCTACCATTATTTACTGTGAGCCCAGTATTTTACCTATGCATCTCTTGTGTTTTCTTCTCCAGGGCTTCCTAATAATTCAATGAGGAATTTAAATTGCATTGTGAGGGTGCAACGTTCTGCAGTAGCTTTTGTCTTTGAGACTATAGTTTTGGAATGTCATACCAACGTGTCCCCCCCCCCCCCCCGTTAAACTGAACTAATTTTGAAATTTATTATAATTTTTGTTTATAGCTAGGATAATAACAGTTTTACGCTGTTTAAAAAAATGGTAGAGGGTTTTTAAAAAGTTTAAGGACTTTTTTCTATTTCTTTTGCTTATGAAAGAAAAGAATTGCTGAGATGTATCATTTTTCAGTAGGGACGCGGGTGGCGCTGTGGGTTAAAGCCTCAGCGCCTAGGACTTGCCGATCGAAAGGTCGGCAGTTCGAATCCCCGCAGCGGGGTGCGCTCCCGTCGTTCGGTCCCAGCGCCTGCCAACCTAGCAGTTTGAAAGCACCTTCGGGTGCAAGTAGATAAATAGGGACCGCTTACCAGCGGGAAGGTAAACGGCGTTCCGTGTGCTGCGCTGGCTCGCCAGATGCAGCTTGTCACGCTGGCCACGTAACCCGGAAGTGTCTGCGGACAGCGCTGGCTCCCGGCCTCTTGAGTGAGATGAGCGCACAACCCTAGAGTCTGTCAAGACTGGCCTGTACGGGCAGGGGTACCTTTACCTTTACCTTTATCATTTTTCTATATGTGAGATGTTTTGCCTCCTCAATTGTCAGCCACTGAATAACAGGCCCTGTCCATAGAAGTTGTTGAAGATATGAACACCTTTAGCAGGCCTTGGCTAATAATGATCGCACTAAAGAGGAAGTTGTTTCAAAAAATATTTTGTATGGTATTGCAAAGCAAATATATCACCTTGATGTCATACCATATTTACCAACATGTTTCCTAGAAAGGATATGTTTATTTCATAATTCAGACAAAAATACTCTTTTCCATTAAATATTTACAGAATCGCTTTTTGAAAGCATGTTGTGAAATAGACAGATATTGGCCACAAAACTTTTATTGTGTAGGAAATTATTATTGTCAAGTAATAGCCCTTGTTATGAAGTTAAATTTAATATAAACTGGTATAGCACAGAAATGAGCAAAAACAAGTTTTAAACTCTCACTTTCCCAGTTTCTCGTATTACAGTCCAGGGAGCTCAAATTGTCATCAACTATATAGCACTTAATAGGATCCACTCTTTGCATATTAATTTAGGTTCTGATTGAGAACTCTAATCAGCATGACTTAAAACAGCTATGATAGATAAAGCAACGACTTAGATGATTCAGCCTAAACACTACAAACAATAAAGGCTTCTGCTTCTGCATCCAGTAGCTGATAGCTTCAAGGTCATCTGTGCTCAGCTGCAGCATCTGCTGAAGAGGACAATGGAAAGAAATAGAAGCAATTACCCTTCAAACAAAATGAGTAGCACATGATCAAAAGATGGCAAATCCCACAGAGCCCTTTTAAAATGGCAGCTAAATTTTTAGCATCTGAAGAGCAGCCATTGTCTCCTTGAAAACTGGTGCTGCCCGTCAAAGTGTGTGAGTAAGGTTGAAAGCCTAAGCATACTCATGAGGAAGTCAAGTCTTAATGAGTTCAGTTGGACTTGAGTAAACATGTTTGGAATTACAAGACAACATAGAAAATGTGGAATTGCCTTGCCAGTGACGCCACATAGGAAGAAGTCAAAGCGAATAAGAAATGGGTTCAAACTACTGTATGTTGATCACAAGATTTACATGTGACAATAGATGTGACAGGATGTAGAATTCAAGCACTGATAGAGCATAATGACAAGGTGTGACTAAGGATGTCCTTTTTTTCACAGCTGCCATGTGCTGGGTTGATGTTTTTATTGAGCTATCCGCTAAAACCCCAATAAGTATTTCCTAGCTAGTCACTGCTAGTTCAGACATCAGCTTGCATGCAACAATAGGATTTTTTGCCCTTATGTGCCTCTTTTTACACTTGCTTTCATTGACCTGCCTTTGCTATTTAGTTGTCTAGTCACCCAATCTGGAGAAACTGATTTGGAGCTCTTTGCAGTTTTCTTGGATTTTCACTTTTTTGAATAATTTATATAGCAGAATTCAGTGCTTCAGACTGCTTTAGATACTTTATCTCTGTATGGTAGGCAATTATTGTCCCTATCTTTCAGATGGGAGAAGGTAGGCTGTAGCTGTGAAAAATGCCAATTCCATGCTGCAGATGATTAAGAAATGAATTGAAAATAAAACTTCAGAAAGCATAGTACCCTTACAGAATCTGAAAAAGGAGAGCTTAGTTCTGGAAAGAGGTAGAAGAGCATAACCAAAATAATCAGGGGCCTGGGACTATGAGGAAATTCTACAACATTTGGGTTTGTTTGTTTTTTGGCAAATATGGAGGGACACGGCAGGTTTATAAAAAAAATTGTGGTGGTATAGAGAAAAGGGATAGGAAGAAGTTTCTCTCATAATACTAGAAGTCATTAAAGAAACTAACAGTAGTTTCAGGACAGAAAAAAGCAAAGACTCCTTTACACAATACAATATTGAATTAATGGTGTAATTGGATTTTTAATGGGGTTTTTAATGACCAATTAACACACATCCTTTCTTTTCTACAGTTTGCAATTTTATGTCTCATGAGAAGTGCCTGAAGCATGTGAAGATGCCATGCTCTTGTGTCGCTCCAAGTCTTGTAAGGGTAAGTTGCCCAAAATGTCTACTTCTCCTGCTTAACTCTTGAGTTTCTTTCTCCTTCCCTTTCGCCTGCCTTTATGCTGAAAACCATTTGATGTTATATGCTTTTTGGTGTGCCATGAAATGTTTCTGTAGGAGAAATACAAGTACACAAAATAACAAATTGTCCCTAAACAAAGGTGTAGGTTAACATTTCAGTATACTAATTCTGTTAACAACTAGAAGAGGTAATGAAATGCCTAGCAGTATTTATTCTGTCCCAAAGATCTGGAAAATTTGTAGCATTAAAATACCAATTAGCAGAACTGAAATAAGGCAATATAATACATTGTGTGACAACATGTGGTCAATCTTGTGCAAGGATAATAAATGGAAACTCCTATCTTGCAAGAGTTTGGGACATTTTAAAATAGATCTTCAAAATTGTATTCAGTATTTCAGTCTGGCCTGAACTTTTCCCTGTTACTTTCAAAAATAAGAATTATTGCTACTCTTGTTTACTGGAACACAAACTGGAGATATCTCAAGCCTTTAGTTCTGTTCATAGAAATATAATCAAAGCAAATGCAGTTATGATAGTATCTACATGTAGGTGGCTAAATAGGGTGCAGATGGAATTGTACAACTTGTGAAGAACAGTTCTTTTTAGTTTAGAGATTTTATAATATCTTCTAGACTAGGGGTAGCCAACTCTCAAGAGACTGCAATCTACTTTCAGAATTAAAAACTGGCAGTGATCTACCCCCCCTTTTGGTGTTCAGCTCAAAGTTGTTGAGGTTTTTTTGGGTTCAGCTCAAAGTTGTTCAGCTTTTTTTAGGGAGGAGGAAAGACCCGTTTTGGGGGGGTTCAGCTCACAGTTGAGCTTTTTTGGGAGGAGTTCCATTTTTGGGGGATGGGTTAAAGGCAAGGGACAAAGGGGTAAAATCACTCACAAGAAGATCGCTATGGATCAAAACAGCAACACAGAGAAAGCTCCATCATCCCTTCCAGAGATCATACAACAATGGAAGGCGGGGCAAGGGGGTGGGGCAGGAGTCAGTTTTAGTGATGCTAAGGAAAGGGAGCCAGAGATCGGCCGCAATCTACTAAAACCTCGTGGGGATCTACCAGTAGATCGCGATCGACCTGTTGGACATCCCTGTTCTAGACATATGAAGGTCTTCGTGATCATTGGCCATGTGAAAGTCCTGGTTTTCAGAGCCAAATGATGGAGAGTTGTCAGGGTGACATAATAGCTCCTACCACCCCTTTTGAAAATACCCTAGAATCAAGTGGACCCTGATTTCCTGATATGCATATATACCTTTCAAGGTGAATACATGTCTACATTCTGGACCACAATGAAAAGGAGAAGGAACAGACATTTTCTTATTGGATATTACTTTGACAACAGCTCCTCCAGGCAGAGGGGTGGGAAAAGGAGAGGATGTGGAATTGCATGTTTCTGCGTTCCGTCTGTATGCAATTAGCTGCACTTTTAAGTTTAGATTTAGTATGTCATCCATAATATTGGTTCAAAGTCATGGCCAACAATTTCATTTTTTATTATGTCAGTTTCATTATGATTCTTGTTGATTTTGAAAAAGTTGAGGTCAGGAGAATACCCTTGAATTTATGTTGCCTCTGTAGCATGATACTTACTTTTTAAGCTTAAAACTATAGCAAGCATAAGTGACATGGTTGCAGTGGAGTTTCCTTCAATTGCTACTGCAGAGAATGCTTTTTTTATTTCTGTGCTTTGTCCTCAGAAGCCTTTTCCTTCAAGCTAACATAAGCAACCCCCTCTTGCGTGTGACTTCTTCAGCATTAAAAGGTGTCATGAAATGTTCAACTGCTTCTGTTAATTACAGGCTGCCTGATGGGCTTCGAAGATAATAGTCTGCTGTCCAAAAGCAGCCATATGGGACAGCTGTATTGTGTGTTGGCTTCATGAAGCAAATATTCACTTTGGCTCTTAGCTTAAAAACATAACAGAAGGCTTAATGGTAGTTTATTCTATGTATGGGAAGCTTCTATTTTTGTCCCCTACCCTTCTTGCTGATTATACAAAGTGGCTATTTGTGGGAAGTTCTAATATATGAAGGGTGTTAAAGATTTCTTCCTGCTGGATTCTTAGAGCATGCTAATGTTATAAACCAGGAATTGCATTTTGAATACTTAAGGGTAAAGGGAATCTGGCTAAGAGTCAGCTTCGTCTGAATTTTTCGTTTGATGCTAAGCAAAATGGGGATTATCCCGGACTTAATGAAAATGTCACTTTAAAGCAGGACATGGAATTCAAGGTCAAGTAAAGGCTCACAAAATAAGAAGCATGGCATGAGTCAGATAAGTTCATGTGTCGACAGTGTTCAAAGAGAAATTATGGCATTTGCGTACTATGACGAATCTTTGTTGCTTGGACTTGGTTACAGGCTGGATGGAGTCCAAAATATATCAAACATTTTTTGTGAGCAGCCTGTATTGTCTAGTACTGAACCTGTTTTAGTTTAAACAAATGCATGCACTGTATAGTTCTCTTCAGGAAATTATTTTTGAGTTCTGGTTGAACTCTAAAGCTTCTCACTGCTTTATGTGTTGTTCCATTTGGTCCTGATAAAAGTATTTTGCTACTGTTGCTTTGACCTGCATGCAGTCTTGTTCAGTACTTCTTCCTTGCATCTTTTCCGTTATCCGTTAGCTAAAGATATTTTGTTGTCTTGTTAATTTGGCTTTTATTACCCCAAAGTATACAAGGATAAGATAAGATGTAGGATTTATTTGTTTGTTTGCTTGCTCTGCTTACAGCATTTATAGTTTAGCAAATCACCTTGTGCATGAGCTGTGCTTTAGGAGGGGGAAGCTAGTCAGGTTTTTTGCCCTGGGTGAAGCCTCCAGAGGAGCGATTGAGGCTCCCAGCCTGTGTGTGTATGGGTACGCAAATGTGCATGGGGGTGTGCCAAACTGGGTCTTTGACCCAGGTGAAATAAGGCCTAGTTTCACCCCGGCACATGCAGCCCTTGATCTTCCTCTAGCAGGACATAGAACATAGGAAGCCACCTTATAAGAATTGTGCTATATTGTAGGTTGAATTTGATTCTTCTGCTGCCTCCTGTAGGTGGCAACAGGGTGTGTGTGTGTGTGTGTGTGTGTACACACACACACACACACACACACACGGCTTGGTTTGTGCCCCAAACCAGAATTGAATTATATCAAGACCATATCTTGATAAGTATTTTTCATTACATGTTTATCTGTTCTAATTGCCTCCAGTTTGGCCCTTGCTGAGCAAATTGTTTACTGTGTAAACAGTCAAAGGCAATCCTCTTTTCAAGCTAGATTTGCATAGCTACTGCTGCTGACTTCAATGGATTTACTTGCTTTTGTTGATATTGGGAGAAAAGTCGGCTGCCTTGAAAGTGCTTAATCTCTAAAATGAAGGATGTCAGGTTTCTGGAAATTATTTCTACGAACCAGGATGTAGTTAGCTAAAACCCCAGATTGCGGGTGCTGTGTGGAGTTGTAATGATATCCTGTGGTTTATGGCTTTTGGGGACTGCAAGCTGCTCAGTTGCCTCTGCTTCACTCTCTCCTGGTGCAGCAGGAACAGCAAACCAAACTTGTTTCATCCGAACTCAGGGCTGTGATTCCCCCCCCCCCCCGACAAACCACAATCAAGAAGCCATTGTTGGTTCTTGGCTCACTGCTTGTGGTTTTGTTTTAGGGAAATAAACCATGACCCTGGGTTTGGCCATAGCAGTAAGCCTTGAAACCTTGGCTCGATGCTCCCACTTGCACCTGGGGATGAGGGCAGCATGCATTGGTATGCTGTGTAATATATTGGAACCAGTATGACGTCTCATATATGAATGAGGACATTCTGTAGTTGCTGGAAAGGGTTCTGTGTATGCTCACAGGCATCTTTGTCAATATTTCGCATGTTCCAGGATTCTGAATAATTTCTATGCTGGTGAGTCCTGGCTCCAATTCAGCCGTGCATTGAACATAGCTTTTCAAAGGTAACAATTTGCCATCTCCCTGGTGACTTTTGTTCCAGGCTGAGTGCCTTTTCAGCTGTCTTTGGTTTGGTATATTGTTTTCCTTTTGCAGTTGCGTGTGTCATTGTTCTAAGCCTATCAGTGTAATGAAGTCTTGCACAGCAAAGGGAAACCCCTACCAAAAACTCGAAACAGGAAGCTTAACTGCTGAAGATAGCTGAAAATAGAACAGGCATCCTTGTGCCACAAATAACTCTTAATGGTACTATTATCTAGAGCTAAACTACGTGTTTGTTTTTTATTTGTTCGTATTCTCTCTGTCTCTTTTGGGGGGGAAATGCAGTTTCCCTTTTCTGCTGCAGTATTGCATGTTGATTAGGTAATGTGTTCAGTATAATAACGGCACTTAGATAGCTTTAAAAGCATTTATAGAATCAGATTGCTACGCTGTGTTTTGCTAATTGATTTTAATGGCTCATATCAAGATCATATTCTAGAAAGGGCTCTCAATAATAAATGAGAAGCAAAAATTATACAGCTTTGTCAGGGTGTCTTGTGACATCACCACATAGAATTAATGTAGCTAAATTGTCTATGGTGTCTACTGTATTTAGAACAGGAATAACTGAGGCTCTGTGTGGTGAGGACAGTATAATTAGCCTCTGTTTCCTTAGTATCCTCTGTGGGGGCGGGGACGGGGAAGATTGGATTGGAGACAGTAATTAAAATTGCATCTTTCCACCCACTTTCAGAAGCAGAAAATATATGTGCATAGTGGTTCCTTGGTGCATATCCACTTTAAGCCCTACACTGACACGGAGGCAAAGGAAGTGACTATTCCCTTTGATTGTTAGAAACCAGTCAGTAGAAATTGCGTCATTTGATAACGTAAAGAAGGGAGAACATTCCTTTTGCAATCTTTGTGTAACAGAGAAACTTTTTATGCCTGGGTCACTGGGTAAGAAGTGGCTGGCACTACATCATCCTTTATTCATCATCACCGTCATTTTATTTTTATGCCACCTTTCCAAAGTGAAAGCCTTGCTCGAGGTAGTTTACAACATGAAAAGATTTACATTACAAACATTACAAAAGCAGAACACATCAAAAAGTACACAACCTTTCCACACAAGTCATAGGGCCATTAGATCTAAAAATAAAGATACAAAAAAATAATATCAATAACAGCAGCAACCCCCACCCCCCAACAGAACCTCTAAACAATACCCCAACCCAAGACTCAGTTCAGCAGGCTCAGCTTTTGTAGCTGGAGTCAGGGCCCCTTCCCTCCCAGGCCAGGTGGAACAAGGCCTGCAAGACAGGAAGCAACTCTTCCAGAACTCGTAGTTAAGATTGATCCTTGTCATTGGAACACTGGCTTTCTTTCTAGCTTTGCAGCATTTTCTCCTGTGATTTATTTTTGTTTTTTCCTTATGTAATTTTGCACCTATATATATTTGCCTTTCTGGGATGCAGATCGCTATACCATGATGGTGTGAGTACCTAACTGATGGTCCTGAGTCCCTCCTAGGGATGTGGTTGGCAATGTTCTGATGGGATCTCCTTACTGACGTGTGATTAAGAAATTGTATAAATACACTTAATCTTTAAAATTGCTTGATTGGACTGCTGCTGACTCAGTATTCTCATGGGATATGTTAAAAAAGAAAAAAGGTTCTCACAGAGGGCCTTGGTTTCTGATTGGGCGTAAACTGAATACACATTAATTAACAGTCACCCAAGTTGCTCAGTGTTTTTAGTTGCCTATATGCAGTTATGTTGCATCTGTAGATCTTAAGGGCACAGTATACAGTTAAAGCACACTTTGTTTTCTGTGCAGGTTCCAGTTGCACATTGTTTAGGACCTCCAGGACATTACAAGAGAAAGTTCTGTGCCGTGTGCAGAAAGCTTTTGGAGTCTCCAGCATTTCGCTGTGAAGGTGAGGCTGAACTGTAATGGATCGTGGTGTTGTCAGCTTATTCTAATTGGAATCTTAACTGTCTGCCACCCTGACACAAGCACAATATTTTTAAGGCACTTCCTAGAATGATAAATGAGGACTTACTAGGAAGTGTGAGGGATTGTAGAGAGTGCGGGGAGGAAGCCTGTTGATAAGTTTCTCTCTTCCCCCCCTTTTCCCAGCAGAGAAAATGTTGAGGCTGTGCTCTCATAGCATTTACCAGTTGTTGATGTTGTATGAGAAATAGCGATTTCGTAGGTTAATCTCAATGTACAAATCTAATGTGATTTCATACAAAACAGCCTTATATTGAGAGAGTTATTCCATCTAACCCAATATCTGTCTGTTTCAATTGATGGTGGGCCTCCAAGGTCTTGGGCAGGGTTCTAGCAAGTGCAAAAATTAGAGACAGGCCAGCTCCCCATGTCCAGGAGATCACATGAGGGAAAGGCCATTGACACATAAAACAAACTAGATAGATGAGCCATCAGCAAGGCAGAGACTTGCCATTCAGGCAAATGTGCGAAGTCCCTCCTGGATGTCTGTGTTAGTTAGAAGATGGAAGGCTTTTATCTGTTAACAAAAATCTCAATGAAAAGTAATTTAAAGAAAAAACTACTCTGTATTTGAAACTATAGCATGTTCTGCTTCCCAAATGGACAGAAATATTTCCCAGGTTTGATGCATTAGTTACTGTGCTTTTTAGGGGGTAGTGCTAAACATGGGGTTTGTGCTCTAAAATGATTCAAAACAAGTGGAGAAATATGACATTGCTTGGAATCCATTGGACAATATGGGATTTTGAGTTCTGTTAACTTGTGACATTAATTGGGAACCCAGGTTTTAGTATCAGTTCCTCATTTTGAGTGTGGGATTTGTGGTGCCAAAGGGGTTCAAACTATTGCAAAATTTTGGCACCGGTTTGGAATGGATCCCAAATTTTGGGGTTCCTATTTAATAAGATTTTTAAGATCCTTTAACTGGTAATTCTAGGGACTGGAGCTGGGATCTTTTGCATGCAAAGCACTGAGGGCAAATCTAGACATGACACTATTCATGACATTAGAAATTGAGTGGCTGTTGGTTGTTTGTAAATAGCAAACATGCCTACCTCTGCTCCAGGTCAAGTCCCCGGTGGTCTTCAGAATAGTGTCTTAATGCTTTGGCCCTATTGTGGTTCTGGCCCACATTGGGCCTCTGTACTTGTTACTTTAGGGACGCGGGTGGCGCTGTGGGTTAAACAATAGAATCTAGAACTTGCCGATCAGAAAGTCGGTGGTTCAAATCCCCACGACGGGGTGAGCTCCCGTTGCTCGGTCCCTGCTCCTGCCAACCTAGCAGTTTGAAAGCACGTCAAAGTGCAAGTAGATAAATAGGTACCGCTCTGGCGGGAAGGTAAACGGTGTTTCCATGCGCTGCTCTGGTTCGCCAGAAGTGGCTTAGTCATGCTGGCCACATGACCCAGAAGCTGTACGCCGGCTCGCTCGGCCAATAAAGCAAGATGAGCGCCACAACCCCAGAGTCGGTCGCAAGTGGACCTAATTGTCAGGGGTCCCTTTAACTTTACCTGTTACATCAAAGCCACCCACTTGGATGGATTTAAATAAAATTAGGCAAATTCATGGAGGATAAGGCTATCAAGGTCTGCTAGCCACAGTTGCTGTGCTTTGCCTCCATAGTCACAGGCAGTGTGCTTCTGAATACCAATTGCTGGTGCCTGCAGGAGGGGTGACTACTTTTTTTGCTCAGGTCCTGCTTGTGATTGCATCTGGTTGGTCCTTGTGAGAACAGGATGCTTGACTAGCTGTGGCATTGGCCTGATCCAGTAGGCTCTTCTTAGGTTCTTATGGTTCTGCTAATCGTGTACATGATGCTGCATCTTTGCTATAATAACGATGAAATATATTTTAAAAGTAAAGTAGAATAATTAAAAATAGAGATAAAAGCAAGAGTAAAGCAAACGAGAGGCAATTTCCTCCCCTTTCCCTCTGTTTACTCCTAGTTTGTGAGCTGCACGTGCATACGGATTGCGCCCCGTTTGCTTGTAGTGACTGTCGCCAGTGCCATCAAGATGGCAGTCAGGATCACGTAAGTACAAACGTTTTTGTTTAAACAACAGAGGAAAGAAATCTCTTAGGAAAGCTTTGCTTCCAAGGGCCTAATGCAAAGTTGAACTTTTCGTTACTTGCTTCGAAGACTGTCATTAAATGTTTGTTTTGGTTGATTTTTCTGGACTTACTGAAAGGTTAGACATTCAGATTTTGAGTGCAGCTAATTCAACTGCTTTACCAAGATTTTAAAGCAATTTTAAAGGTTGCAGTACATTTTTTAAATAATTGATTTATTTAATTTCTGTAGGATACATACCATCATCACTGGAGGGAGGGAAATCTTTCTTCAGGTGCACGTTGTAAGGTCTGCAGGAAAACGTGTGGCTCTTCAGAGGTGCTCTCGGGTATGAGATGTGAATGGTGCGGCATTCTGGTACGTAAACAAGATTTATTTGTTTCCCCCAAAATTTGATACCCTGGCATGTGAACCGGCCAGAATCCTCAAGGCAACTTAAAGGAAAGAAGCAGTGAAAGGTAGTTTAGCTGGAAGTCCATCACAGTATATTATATATGATAAAACAGAATGTTAATATATTCTCTGTTTTAATTAAAGATGGTTGTTTTTAAACAATTTCATATGTGAAGTTTCCCTGTTCTCCAGAATGGACGAAAGGTGTGGTATAAAAACATCAGATAAGTAAATAAACAGAATAACAAAATAACTGAAATGTCCATAATACAGTGCATGTAGTCTGGAAAAATATCATAACTGTCATTACAATCCATAAGTGGTCACTATATAAACATTTTTTAGAAAACCCATCTGGCTGGGTTTCTGTTATCTTAAGAACTATCTAACAGGACAGTAAGTGTACTCTGGACATTGCAAGTAAAATAACTCAGAAAATGTAAACTGCCTTTCTTTACTCTTCAAATATATTTTGTTTGTTTCTGAATGGCAACATTAAACTAAGAATGTACACTACTGTAGAAATTCCCTTTTAGGTGTAACAGTATGTGGAATTATTTTCGTAGCAACATACTCTGCTTTAGACTACCCTTCCTTTGTGTTTGTGATTTGGTTTATATTTTAAACATCATACGAACATAGTTGTTTTCTACTGGAGCATATCATGCCCCTCTAGCCCAGCACGTCCTGTGACTTGGCTGTACATGCCCCAGTGCTTCAGACAAAAGGTCTTTCTCAGTCTTGTTCCTGACATCTTTTTAACTGGAAATGCCAGGGAGTGCACTCTGGACCTTCTGTGTGCATAGGATGTGTACTGCTACTCAGTTGAAGAAGAAGGGTTTGGATTTGATATCCCGCTTAATCACTACCCTAAGAAGTCTCAAGGGACGCGGGTGGCGCTGTGGGTTAAACCACAGAGCCTAGGACTTGCCAATCAGAAGGTTGGCGGTTCGAATCCCTGTGACGGGGTGAGCTCCTGTTTCTCGGTCCCTGCTCCTGCCAACCTGGCAGTTTGAAAGCACATCAAAGTGCAAGTAGATAAATAGGTACCACTCCAGCGGGAAGGTAAACGGCGTTTCCATGTGCTGCTCTGGTTCGCCAGAAGCGGCTTAGTCATGCTGGCCACATGACCCAGAAGCTGTACGCCGGCTCCCTTGGCCAATAAAGCGAGATGAGCACTGCAACCCCAGAGTCGGCCACAACTGGACCTAATGGTCAAGGGTCCCTTTACCTTTAAGGAGTCTCAAAGCGAAGTCTCCTTTCCCTTCCTCCCCCACAACAAACACTCTGTGAGGTGAGTGGGGCTGAGAGACTTCAGAGAAGTGTGACTAGCCCAAGGTCACCCAGCAGCTGCATGTGGAGGAGAGGGGAATTGAACCCAGTTCACCAGATTACGAGTCCACTGCTCTTAACCACTACACCACACTGGCTCATTTGTGTCTCTTCCCTATTGAAACCACATGTTTCCATCTAAAATACTTGTACTGAGCTAGGCTTAAGGCCAGGCAGTATGTGACAGTGGCAGACCTGTGTCTTCTTAAAGTCTTGGTCTGCCTGAATCTTACGTAACACAGGGAGTGGGTCTTACTGTGTGTGTTCTCCAAATCTGCAGTTTTCCTCTGCAGCAGACTGGGACCCACGTCCCAGCATTTTCTCTTAGCTGGGATCACTTCCAGTGATGGGGCACTGGGAGACAACTTGAGGGCAGGAAGTGCGGTGAGGCTTCAGCATCCCCCCATCCTGCTCTAAAAATTTGACCTTGGTGATCCCAAACTTGCATTAGGTTTGTGAGCATTTGTTTTGCTTATTCTTGCAAAGCCAGAAATCATCAAGTTGAAAAGGTATTAGGCACTGAATATGAATACATCTAAACTTGTATTTTATTGTGCTTTGGCAATCAGTAATAGTTCTTCCAGTGTGCCAGTGTGTTATATTTGCTACTCATTAAACTCCACAGGTTACAGAACTATCTGTTTAACCAGGTTTATATATATATAAAGAATATGGTTAATGAATCTCTATGGGGAGGAGAGAGGCTGTGATCATTGTACTTTGTGTTCAGTTGTACTTTGTATTTCATTTCATTTCATTTGTAAACTAGCCAGGAGGGAAAACTAAATGAAGATAGTTTTTTAACACAAACAAAAAACTAGAAGAATTGAGGCAACAAGCTTTTACTTATCTGTAAAATGGACTGTTCCCCAATATGAAATGGCTCCCTGATTAATTTTACAGGAAATTGCTGATCCACGCTCACATTTTCTGTGTGACCAAGCCTCTTCCATCCTTTGAACTTCTGAGCACATAGAATATGAATATTTGAGCTCACATGGGATTAACTTTGCTTACTGATATTTAATATCTGTCTTCTGTGACTAAGGGGATATAAAATAACCCAGAATTTTAAAGTGTTCATAATTATTTATCATATGATAGAGGATCTGAAAGAAGTACTGACTTTGTCAAAGGTTGCAACTTTTTTTGGGGTGCCCTTTATCTCTGCCACACACACACACACACACACACACACACACACACACTGCCAGCCACAAACTATGGGTATAGATTAATTTAAATTGAGTGGGAAACAGCTGTCTAGGCTCAAAATTTACAAATCTGAAATAGAAATTAGACATGACTTTACAAGAACCTGATGCTGTGTTTTCCATAGGCTCATGCTGCTTGCTCTGTGATTGTACCTCCAGAATGTACATTTGGAAGACTAAGAAACATGATTCTTCCTCCAAACTGTGTGCACTTATGTTCTCGCAACTTCAGTAAAATGCACTGTTTTCGGATATCGGAAAGCTTACAGACAGAAGCAGGTAAAGTTCTGACTGCGTAATATTAATCCATTGGTTTATTTAACAATTTAGTGATCACTTTTTGCTTTTATTAAAAGCCAAAATGCACAATTGTCAAAATGGTATCCTTGTTAAAAGGAGGAACTTCTGAGAACAGAGGTAGGAAACAAGCCCCTAAGCCTCATTCAGTCCACCCATGTGCTTTCCTATCCTGTGTAGTTCTGGCAATCTGCCTGCAGGTGGTTGTTCTGGGCCAGAAAGCATTTCTGAGAGCTAAAGTCTTTGTGAGTCAGATTTGGGTTGAATACCATGTGCTGTCCAGTTGCTTAGGTAGGCTGCCACCCTATGAACACTTACCTGGGAATACATTTAATTGAACACAACAGGGCTTTCTTCTGAGCAGGTGTGCACTGTGCTTTAAGACGTTTTAGAAATACTTGTTAAGAATTTACCATTTTAGGCTGCTATTTGCTAAACTAGAAATCTCTTGCTTCTTATTTTTTTAAAAAGCATGCTTGTTAGTTTCTTTACATCCCCGTCCCCCAATCAAATTACCTTTATTCAATATTTTTCTTAGCTTAAAGTAGGAGCGTGCCCAGATTTAAAATATCAACACTTTTTCACATTTTGAAAATGTATTTGCTGTAGAAAATAAGTAGGGGATGAATAGCTTTAAGCAAGGTGCGTATTTTACAACCTGTTTGGGAACTGTCAGCCTGTGGGCCCGTATTGACCTGCCAGGGAATCCAAGTTGGCTCATGACATCATTTCCCCCAAGTCATGCCCTACCTACGCATCAGCTGGCATCACTCATAATGTCGTCTGATGAGTGGGAGGACTAGGCCAAATCCTGCTGTAGCTGTGCTCTCCTGTTCCCTGCAGGGAACAAAGGTGCACATCCAAAACAGCAAAGTTTAACCCCCCCCACTCATCAACTGAACCTCCATTTTAGAAACAAATTTCTGTACATCAGGAGTCAGCAAACTTTTTCAGCCGTGGGCCAGTCCACCGCACCTCAGACCATGTGGTGGGCCGGACTATATATTTGGGGGGGGGGATGAACGAATTCCTATGCCCCACAAATAACCCAGAGATCCATTTTAAATAAAAGCACACATTCTACTCATTTAAAAACACCAGGAAGGCCCCACAAACAACCCGAGATGCATTTTAAATAAAAGCACTCATGTAAAAACACACTGATTCCCAGACCGTCCATGGGCCAGATTGAGAAGGTGATTGGGCCGCATCCGGCCTCCGGGCCTTAGTTTGCATACCCATGCTGTACATAGTGCTTTAAAGTCCTGATTTTGGGACTTCAAAGCACCTTGGCTGCACCCATCTGTCAAATTTGGCCCACAAGGCCATTCTTGATGAAGACTTAATGGCCCGTGGAGTCAAAAAGATTCCTCAGTTTTCTTGTACAAAGTAAATAGCTTTTGATTCATTGCTGAACCTTGTGGGGTTTGGTTCCTTTTGCAGTGTGTGGGGAAGGTTTGCTTGCTTTCATATGCAACAAATCTATAACAATGGAACACAAGGAAGGGGCATTTTTTAGTGCTTACATTTTCTTCATCTTTTTGTCTTTGTGCTTACCCAGGTACAGGTAAATGTTCTGATACTGTACTAGAAAAAAAACCTTAAGAATGATGGCAAACCTTCATGTAAAACATCAAACTAATTTTATGTAGAACTGAGGCAGTAAATAGCATGTATAAATGTGTTTCCTTTGCCTTGGCTGTACTGAAAATACTTTGTTCCGTTTCTACCATAATATTTTACTGCCACCTAGAGTACATCCTACATATATTTTTTCCCTCAGGTTCTCAAGAATATATTCATATTTCCCTATTTCCCCACAAGGCTAGGACTGTAACTATAATTGACAGTGCAGATAGGTCTATCTGTGGCTTAATAAGCCATAATAGCTAAATGGAACCTCCATCTTCAGTGTCGAGCAGGATTTGGCCTTTGTCTTCATATTCTGTGTATAAACTTCCAGAGCGATATACCTGGCTGCTATTTGAAACTACTGGATGAACCTTGGACAGTCCAACAAGTTGATTCTTATGTTCTTAAATTCTTCTGTTGCCTTGCATATCCTGCATGCTAGGTACTTTACAATCCATTATAAATGTGCTGCTTTAGTAAAGCACATTTTAATTCTTGCAACACTTCATGTGTCCTGGAGATAGGGAGGCTTCAGAGCCCTTGGAGAAGGTAATTCGTCAGGTTGTCATTAAATGTGAATGTCAGTGGTCATGAATAAACTTGCTCAGATGGTTGCAAAGATTTATTTTAAGCACACCTGAAAGATGGGCAAATGTCTTTTAGCGTAACTAATGGTTTCAACTCCGAGTCTTAGCTTAGGATCTGTGAAGTGCTGCCTTCCTCCTAAATATGATTTAGCCTACAATTCTGAATACAGCTCCTAGGCAGTAAGTCCCATTGACCTTGGTGAGACTTCTGAGGAAACCTTTTTAGGATTACACTGTTAATGTTACTGTTTGGTTTTAAAGATCCCTAGTTCACATTAGCTGCGCTTAAGGTCAGTGCTGACATTTCCCTTGAGAACAGTGATGGGAGGAAGGAGCTTGCATTCTCGTCACTGGCTTCCAAGTGCTAATCTCTTGTATGTTTGTATTTTACAAAAAAATTATCTGAGGCACAAATTGACCAAACAATCAATTGGGTGGCTTGTGTCAAAGCCGACCACGTGTCCCCTTTGCTAAAAATATTAGCTTGGAATTTTTAGTTTGCAAATGCACGGTGTTTCTTTTCAAACCTGTTTGCTTATGTATGAAGCTACCTTTCAAATCTTTGGATAACTATTTATTGTTTTCTGGATAATTTTAAAGCTAACAAAAGCAACTTGGCCAGACCTTTCCCATCAAACAAAAATAGCTTATTGTTTGTGCTTATTTATTAGGTTGCATTATGTAGCTTGAAAAGTGAATAAACCAGTTTCATTTAGATATGTAAACAAGGTGGGGAAGTTATAGGACCTTTGCACATATTAAGTATGAATAAATGCACTTTATGCATATTTAACAATGTACACTCGTCTAGAAAATGACTCCCTCTATAAAAATCAAAAAGACCCAATTGTCTGTCCTTCAAAAATATGAGGAGTAGAAATTGCTTGAAATACTGTATTGAATTTGCTGGAATGGTTGAGTTATGCTTTGCTGGTGGTTACAAGAATACACCTAAAGCTGTTATGTACAGGCAACCCTTGTTTTGCTCGAGGGTTATGTTCTGTCCTGCTCCACCCAGTTGTGCCATTTGGGTGACATTTTTGGGTCATTTCTGGAGTTGGCGTCATGCATATGTGCACGATTGCCCATCAGTTGGACGTGCATAAATCGTTTGTTGCCTGTAGCGATCGTTCTCCACCAGAAATGCTAATGGCGTTTTCTGGAAATTTTTGAAAAGTGGCTTCTGGATCAAGTCAGTGCATGTAAAATCTCCCTCTGTGAGTGGACATTGCATCATGTTTCTATAAGCACGTAGGCTGGTGTAGCTGTGATGCTACAGATTAGCCTTTGCTTTCTTTCGGCATATTCTTTTAAACTTGTTTGTGTGTCTGTTCTCTTTTGTCATGTTTTATCATGCCCTCAGATTTTCCGTGCTCAGGCGTGGCTTGACAGAACAAGCAACATAAGCAACTGCTTTGGACTGCAATAGTTTTTTGAGAGGCACTAATGAAACATCTTGTGGCTGGAAAACTGTGTATAATACCAAGAGTGCAAGCCTGGGCTGCCATAGATTTTGAGACACACCTCTCAGGACATGTAGGGCAGTTATCTGTGGCCATAAATTCTATTGGAATGGCTATGGCAGTGTGTCTCTTAGGAAATTAGTAGATGTTGAAGTAAGATAGCTGTGTTGTAAAGAGATTATGTTGGGAAAGGCGTAATCTGCCATTCTTTTCAGATCAACCTAGCATGCTGCATAGCATACAGTCACTACTTTTGCTTTTGGTGTACATAAGAGCTGTTGCACACATTGCACAGCAGCAAGATCAGGTTGGCTGTCAAGTGTATATTTATCAAGGAGCCAGAATCCTCCCTGACTCTGATAAGTGTGCCAGTACAATGCACATGTCTTCAAAGACCTGTTTTCAGATCCTCTTTTTCGAATATGCCTTAAACTAATGTGTGAAGAGGCCCTTAGGAAAGAGCATAGGAGTCAACTCCTAGGAGCTGAGGTCCCTTCGCCCCCCCCAATAAAATATTTAAGGGGGCCAGGACACCCAAAGTTGATGGGCATTGCCATTCAAATGGTGTGTGTGTGCCATGTCATGTGATCAGTTATGTGGGGGTGGGGCTTACCTGCCCACCCCCAGTATTTTATTCAAGTTGGCACGTCTGGGAAAGTGCAGTAATGGAAAATCTTTTGATGGACAGGCCAGGAAACTAGTGGAAGAATCGGCTTTGCATTTCTTAGTTAAGTGATGAACATCCTTTTTAAACAAGAGAAATTCTCTAAGCTGCAAACAGAATCTGTATGTATTAATTATGCCATGGCTGATCTGTCAAGACTTATGACCAAGTATGGCCTGCATCACTTGATTTACAGAAATTAGGCAAGAGGTCTTCTCCATCCATTCAGGATGGCAATTTGACTTGTTTTTAGACTCCCACAAATATCTTTTCCCCTTAGCTAAAAACTTCCTTATTAGAATTTGTGAAAGAAATACCGAAGAAGTCCTCTCATCGATAAAGCACTTGTTCCTTGTATCTTGGTGCAAGTTATTTTTATTACTTTTATTTTTTGCCTTAAGGAATAATTTACAAACCTAGAATTGTGGCTCTTCTAAGACTTCATGCTAGATAATGCTTCAAATGTTACTATCCTCAGCTATGAAAGATGATTTTATTCCATTGTCATTCTATGTCACTCTTTCTCTTTGACCTTCAGTTTGGAGAGTCATATTTTGAAGTAATGCTCTAGTTGTCCTTTAGTTTATTTGCTATGAATGGGGAATTACATTTTGCACTTACTTAACTTTCTTATTGTTGAATACTCCAAATGCAGCTGTTCAACAAACCTGGAAGTATCAATAATAAAAATGCAGAAGAGGTTGGATTTGATACCCTGCTTTATCACTACCCTAAGGAGTCTCAAAGTGGCTAACAATCTCCTTTCCCTTCCACCCCCACTTTGTGGTAGGGGGACAGGGAAATTGAGCTGTTTTATTCTGATGCCAGTCCAGAGAATGAAACAGAGGATGCTTCTACCCATGATAGCAAAACCAGAATCCAAGCCGAAGAAAGTAGTAAAATATATTTGCCATTAGTTTGGGTATATTGGTATATGGATTACCATTGGTATTGGGACGCGGGTGGCACAGTGGTCTAAACCACAGAGCCTAGGGCTTGCCAATCAGAAGGTCGGCAGTTCGAATCCCCACAACAGGGTGGGCTCCCGTTGCTCGGTCCCTGCTCCTGCCCACCTAGCAGTTTGAAAGCACGTCAAGTGCAAGTAGATAAATAGGTACCACTCCGGCAGGAAGGTAAAGAGCGTTTCCGTGCACTGCTCTGGTTTGCCAGAAGCAGCTTAGTCATGCTGGCCACATTACCTGGAAGCTGGAAGACAAACGCCGGCTCCCTCGGCTTATAGAGCGAGATGAGTGCCGCAACCCCAGAGTTGTCCACGACTGGACCTAACGGTCAGGGGTACCTTTACCTTTACCATTGGTATTATGGGATGGTTTATCCTCTACTTTTGTCTGTTAAAAAAAGCATTTGCAGGTTAGATCTTTTTCTGACCCGCAATAAGAAAGTGATAACTGCAGTTATCTTACAAACATTACATTTTCACAGAAAAAAGTGAGGGTGATTTAAATTCTTTAAATGGAGGCAAGCTAAGCACACACACACTTCATTTCCCACGTTTCCTCTAAGGAGCTAAAGGTGGTGAACATGGCTCTCACATAATAATAATTATAATAATAATAATAATAATAAATTATTGATACCCCGTCCATTTGGCTGGGTTACCCCAGCCACTCTGGGCAGCTCCCATCATCATCATCATCATCATAATGCGACAAAGCATCAAACATTAAAACTACCCTAAACAGGGCTGCCTTCAGATGTCTTCTAAAAGTCAGATAGTTGCTTATTTCCTTGACATCTGATGGGAGGACATTTCACAGGGTGGGCGTGACTATCGAGAAGGCCCTCTCACTTCTCGCAGGGAGGGAATTGCCAGAAGGCCCTTGGAGCTGGACCTCAGGGTCTGGGCTGAGCGGTGGGGGTGGAGACGCTCCTTTTATCCTCACAACAACCGTGTGAGGTAGGTCAGGCTTAAAGACTGTGGCTTGCCCTAGATCACCAAGTGAGCTTCATGACTGAGTGGGAATTTGAACCCTGGTTTTTCAGGGCTCATAAAAGTATATATGTCAGCTTCATAAAAACAAGAATTCCACGCGGCTTTCCAGTATACGGCTGTAGAGAATGTCTATTTATTTATCATGGGCATGCTTGCATGTCTATCTGTTTCAGTAATGTGAGTACTATAATAGGAAAATCTGATAGTATTGTTTTCATCACAACATTTTATTTGAAAGGATGAACACCTTGTTTTTAAAGGCAAACCTTTAAAGGAGACTTTTCTTTTCACAGATGACGACGACGATGTTGACAGTTCAACACAATTATCACTAAAAGAGTCCCAGGTTTCCACAGACTCAAGTAAGTAGCATTTGTTACTAAGCAGAGAGTATCTGTTTGCAGCAAGATTTGTGCTAGGAGCATATGATGCCTTTTTGTTGGTGTGCAAAACATGGTACAGTCCAGTTTTCAAGGAGTTGGCAGTAAAATGCAACAAGGCATAAGCAGCTGCTTGCAAATCCACTTAGTCATCTCCTACTGTCATAATAACTGAGGACACATATGTACAATGCTAGTTTGTAAGCCTTCTTGTGCATTTCCTTTAACAGAAAGACAGGATAAACTTTATTTTTAATAAATAATAATTCAGTAATATAATTCATTTTGCCCTTTCTCCTCGAAATGATCAAAAGAGTAGCTTATTATTTTGTTAGCTTGTTTTTTTTAATACATCCTATTTTTTGGCCAGGATGACTCCCCAAAGTGTATCGCAATAAAAATCAATAGAAATATGTCATATAAATAGGGATGCATTCTGCCACCTGTTTTTTTTCATCTTATCTGGCACGTTATTTATTTAATTTTTATTCCATCCCATTTGTGAACCGCGTCTTATGAGACACCTTGAAGCAACTTAACAATAAACAGTAATAATTTAGAACTCCATATATAAAAGTTTGGTTTGCTAAAATGAATGCAGATTTGTAGGTGAATATAATGACTTAACTTCACAATACCTTCATGTTCAGGGTCTTTAAACACTCAATATCTTTTTGAAATGTTTGAAGAGCTGTGCTTAATTTTAACCTCCGTAAAAATAAAAGATGCTGGCTAGAATCCAAAAAACACTGGAACTAGAATGTTTTCTTCCTGTTAGTGCTTTTACTTCTCCAGTACCGGAATATCCCTACTTGGTACATTTTGCAAAACAGGAGCTCCATATAGTCAATTTGGGTGCAGCCATGGCTTGTTCTCTTGGTAAGGCTACATTAATTATACACACCCAGCTTTCTGGGGATTGTTTTTCTTTGTTTGTTAGTGCTATGGACTTTCAGTCCTCTAGTATTTACTTTGAAGATTGTAAACCAAGGGTCAGCAAACTTTTTCAGCAGGGGGCCTCTCCACTGTCCCTCAGATCTTGTGGGGGCTGGACTATATTTTTTGGGGGGAAATGAACGAATTCCTGTGCCCCACAAATAACCCAGAGATGCATTTCAAATAAAAGGACACATTCTACTCATGTAAAAACACGCTGATTCCTGGACCGTCTGCAGGCTGGATTTAGAAGGCGATTGGGCCGGATTCCGGCCCCTGGGCCTTAGTTTGCCTAACCACGTTGTAAACTGTTATTTCTGATGAAAATTGCCAATAAGCCAGTACAGTGATGTTCAAACCACTAAAGCCATAGCCTGTCATGTAACCATTGCTGGTGTATGGTAATATAGTCAACTTCAAATTCTACCATGGCCTCATCCAGGAGGCCACTACCTTTGAAATCAAAAGTTGGCAGCCCTAGACCCAAGAGTAAGCTGCTAATGGTAAGGGGGTGTTTGTGTGTGACAGATGGGTGAAGGAGAAAAAGGTTCAAACTTCACCTTAAAGGCATCATTCTCTTTCAGAGAAGTAAAACAAGGTTCATGTGGAAGCTGGGAAATTTTGTTGCACTGATGGAAGCAATGTAAATACAATAGATTTCCAATGCAGCTGAAAGTTAAAACTCCCTGCAAATTGTCTCAGTGGTCTGGATGCAGTACACTATTTTGTATTAAATGCTAAAATACCGTTTTCCTTTTAGGTAAACAGATCTTGAAAATATACGACGGGAACGATGCAGTAAAACGCAATCAGTTTCGGCTTATTACGGTCCCAAGGATTACAAAAAACGAAGAAGTTGTGGTAAGAGTGCTCGTGGCGTGCTTTCTAAAATTGTATGGATTCTCAAATAGAAAAACTGAAAAAATGTTAACTGTGTTTATATATGAGGCTGATCATTTAATCTTAGCTTTGTTATTAAATATTTTCTTTCAAAATAATAAGCAGTTCGTCATAATGTTAAATACTTAGGTATTTGTAGTTCAGGTGGCATCTGATACAGTAGCTATGTGGTCTAAACCGCTGAGCCTATTTGGCTTTCCGATCAGAAGGTCAGCAGTTCGAATCCGTGTGATGGGGTGAGCTCCTGTTACTCTGTCCCAGCTTCTGCCAACCTAGCAGTTTGAAAGCACACCAGCGCAAGTAGATGTGGTGGGAAGGTAAACAGCGTTTCCGTGCGCTCTGGCTTCTGTTACAGGTGTTTCGTTGCTCCAAAAGTGGTTTAGTTAGTCATGCTGGGAACATGACTCGGAAAACTGTCTGTGGAACACCGGGTCCCTCAGCCTGAAAAGCGAAATGAGTGCCGCAACCCCATAGTCGCCTTTGACTGGAATTAACTGCCCCAGGGGTCCTTTTCCCTCCCCCCCCCTTGTTAATAAGAACCTGTGCAGGATCACATCTTTTCTTCTGGGAGCCTCTACCCTTTCTCTTGACTAACAATAGTTAGAGCTGCTTCTTTCTGGGATACATATACTATATTTTAGTACCTCTTTCAAACCTACTATCTTATGCATAATAGTACTACTTACTATTGTGAGTTTTGATTCCCACCCCCACGTTTGGGGGTCAGCAACTTCTCCGAAACCAAATCCTTCCCACAGCTACCCAGTTCCATCAGCTACCCAGTTGCTAACATGGAAATAAAGCAGATTAGAAAAAGTGACATCTGGTAAGCAATTGCCATAAGGCCACATGTCCCCTTGACCTTTGCCTATTGTACTATGCCTGTCTTGAAAGGCCTGCACTGGTTGCCATTTGCTACCAAGCTCAATATAAGGAGTTAACATTGACATATAGAACTCTAAATAACTTAGACCTCAAATAGCCAAAGAAGCGCCTCCTCCCACAATGACCTGCCCAACTGCTAAAGTCAGCAGTCAAGACCCTTTTGGTAGTGCCACCATCCTTTGTGGCTCAAGGAGTGGTGGTGCATGAGAGAGCCTTCTCTGTGATGGCCCCCAGGTTGTGGAATGACTTTCCCTCTGGTGTGTCTTGTGTCATCAGTGTGTGCTTTCTGACAATTGACAGTTGGTCAAGACGTACATCATTACCCAGGTCTTGAATTGGGTAGCTATCTTGCCTCTCTTTGTATTGCTATGCACTGCTGTCCTGCTTTTTGTTGTTTTGGTGGTTTTTATTTCAAGATTTTAAAGGTACTTACTTTAATGGTAATATTTTTTTTAATCCTGGGACTATTTGGTGAAAGGAAAGCTGTGACTATAAATAATAAAATGACATATTAGGGGAACAGTTCTTCAGCTGGCCATTTTAGGAAGTGGGTTGAAGGAGTCTGCCGCTCCTCACTCTTGCCAAAATTGTTCCACAAGAAAATATAATTGCTGACCAGGGCTTTAATAGGTTATATTTTCATGTACATGATGGTTGCTGCTTCTCTCCATTCAAGAATATTCATTCCATCTCAAAATGCTCAGCTACTTACGTTGTGTTTGTGTCTTTTGTGGTGTTGTAGGAGGCTGCACTGAGGTCATATTACATCAACGATGATCCGCAAGATTATGAGCTTCAGACATTCACTCAACAGGCCTTGTTTTGTGATGACATCATTAATAGGAATGATACCACAGAAGAGACCCAGCCGGGGTCTGTATTCCGAGAAGCCGTTCCTGAAGCTTGGATCATTAGAGCCAAACCGAGAGATAATGAAGTCATAAAAATTTACCCCGGATGGCTGAAGTAAGTGATACTTCCTTTTCTAAATTCCATATTTATGGTACAGTGTCATAAATAAGAGGAGTGATATGTAGAATGCATCTTAATAAATCTATGTTAAGGAAATGAGAGGTTATTTTACTGGTTTTGATTTATTGAACCCCCATCTGTTTATAAATCAAAGTAGCTTCCAGAATGATTAAAGCACATTCATACAACTATCACTTTCCTCCTATGCAAAATGTAGGCTCTGCGAGGTGGTAGTCTTTTTTTAAAGAAAAAAACCCTGTAAGGTTTGTCTACACATCAAGAAGTATTAATATAACTTGAAAATTTGAATCTCTAAACTTCAAAATGAACTTACAGCAACATTTATTTGATTGGTTTTATGGACAGAAGAGTCATGGTCATTCAGCATAATGAATAATCCTATTTTTGTGGCTGTTAAACATGTTGGCAAAGCAGTATTTTTCTGCTGATGTTCCTTTGACCCAACCCACCTTCTGTAAATTATTTCCCCTCTCTAGGATTGGAATGGCCTGTGTCTCAATACGAGTAAATAAAGAAAGCACTACCCAGATGGTTATTAAAGAAGTTCTCCCGTTACTAGGACACCAGGTAAGCAATATCAAATGGATTGTTTCATTTTCAGTTTCCCCTCTGCTTTCACTTGTATTTAACTATATGATTCAAATAAGAGTACCACAGATAGATTAAACAAACAACACAGTAAAAATTGCAAGGGAGTTCCATTGAGCAGAGACTAGATAGTTTCAAGTATTTATTTAAAACATTTATAACCTGTTCTTCATTCACACAGTTGCAGAGTGAAAAAAAATATTCATGTTATTTTATGTATTTCATAATATTTATACACCGCTTGATTGTAAAAACACCTCAAAGCAGTTTGCAAAAAGATAAAACAATAAAATCAAGAGAAATTTACAGTACTTGAAAACATACAAAGGATAAAATACTAAAACAGGTTCAGATATAATAAAATAATATTTCATTTTAAAAGGTAAAGGGACCCCTGACCATTAGGTCCAGTCATGGCCAACTCTGGGGTTGCGGCGCTCTTCTCGCTTTATTGGCCGAGGGAGCCGGTGTACAGCTTCCAGGTCATGTGGCCAGCAGGACTAAGCCACTTCTGGCGAACCAGAGCAGCACACAGAAATGCCGTTTACCTTCCCGCCAGAGCGGTACCAGTTTATCTACTAGCACTTGATGTGCTTTTGAACTGCTAGGTTGGCAGGAGCAGGGACGGAGCAATGGGAGCTCACCCCGTCTTGGGGATTCGAACTGCCGACCTTCTGATCGGCAAGTCCTAGGCTCTGTAGTTTAACCCACAGCTCCTCCCGTGTCCCAATATTTCATTTAAATTCAACTTAAAAACAGACAATGTATTAGTAGTATAACTAAATCAGTCAGGTGAGGGATACTACTTTAGTCAAAAGGTTGGGGGGTGGGAGCTGACCAAAGCTAGCTGACCAAAGTAAATGCTTTTATGCAAAACCCTCTCCTGTAAGTTAGCTTATTGGTCATTAAACTATATGTAAAAAGCCCTACCTTTTCTCCAACATGAGTAATGTTTTAATATTCTGGCAATACTCCAGTGAGTGAGGAAGCTTGTGCTTCAGAATCAATTGAACCCTTCAATTTGGTGTAGCTCTACAATGTGGGGTGGATTGCGTTAAATCAAGAAGGAAAACAAATACGACTTAAATCAAGTTTATTGTTGATACTGTCTATGTTTTTCTTTAAAATGCTGCAAATTTTTTCACTAAACCATGTCTATTTACAGCTGCATTATTATTTATGTGGTTGTTTCATTATTAGTACAACTGGACCTTGCATCTATTTGTTCCACTGTATGTTTTGCACACTTTCGTTTTTATCTGTAAGGGAAATGTCTTTGAGGTAATCCCCTATAGGGTCTTCCTTTGACAATCTGTGAAGTATGGAGAATTTGATCCTCTTTTTCTCTCCAGCATTGCTCTTTTCTGTTTCGCTCTGCTATGGCCTTGTTCCAGCCTCACAAAAAGAAAGTAGGAAACAAAAATGAAATGCCCATGAATGATAGATGGAAGCAAGGTCTGCTAGTTAATGGATTTATTTTCATTGCATTTGTATAAGAGAGTGGATTGGATTGGTTCTTTTTCAATTCAAAGTAACTGGCAGAGGCATTGATTTAGTTTACAGATGAACTTGTAGGGTTTACATCCAAATTATTTAACATAAACATTTAATATAACTTAAGGGTTTTTTTTTCAACACGTAAATACCTTTTTTATTTTTAAAGAATTTATTTTTATCCACTCTTACACAGTGTGGATTTTTAGTATCCTGGTTCTCACCTTACTTTAAACCATAGTTTAAAATGAATGTGTGCTGTGTTTCGGAGTGCCAGGGAAGAATTGGAACAGGGGATAGCTTCCAATTACATGTGTGCCAGGACTCGTGGTTTGTTTGTCTTTTAGCAAACCATGATTGTAAGCCAAGAACTAACCTCTTTCTTAGGAAATGGACAAACCACACTACTTTGCAAATGATGGAAGTCAGCCCTTCTTTGTTTTCTCCCTGACATTCTGAAAAAAGAGGTGGAGGGGGGGGCAGGGCGCAATCTTTTGATCAGTGTGTACCAACATGCTGCTCATTCACATTAAACCCAGGGCTGAACATTTCTGGGCTGGCAGGCAAAATTGTTTTCTCCCTCACCCCTGTCAGCCACTCACCCGATGTCACAGTGACATCAGGTGACCTTCATTGTCTCTATGGGTCTTTGGGAGCCCTTATCGAGGTGCAATTTTTTTTGTAGTGCTTTGAGTGGTGCTTCTGAAGACCTTGCCATAAGCTGGTTGGTGATGGTTGCAAAGCACTACGCAGTGAGAAGGGCTTCTGAAGACACCTGCAGATGACCCTCTCAATTAACCACTCTCAATTCCAACCTGATAATTGCCACCTGCCCAAATTTTAACTTGTCTGAATGAATTTTAAGGTGTATTTTAATTAAATGATGTCTGTTTTTATGCATATTGTGTTGTTTTTATGATGTCAGCTGCTCTGAGCCTGACCTCAGCCAGGGAGGGTGGGATACAAATAAAGAATTATTATTATTATTATTATTACTACTACTACAGTGGATGCTCGGGTTGCGAATGTGATCCGTGCGGGAGGCACGTTCGCAACCCACAGCATTTGCAACCCACAGCGCCATGTCTGCACACGCGTGGGTTGCGATTCGGCGCTTCTGCGCATGAGTAAAGCGCGATTTAGTGTTTTTGTGCATGCGCGAGCGCCGAAATCCGGAAGTAACCCATTCCCGTACTTCTGGGTTCGGCGCTTCTGCACATGAGCAAAGCGCGATTTAGCGCTTCTGCGCATGCGTGAGCGCCAAAATCTGGAAGTAACCTGTTATGGTAGTTCCAGGTTCAGTGCAGCGCACATGCCAAAAATGCGCAAGCTGAAGCATCTGTAACCTGAGGTATGACTGTATTATTATCATCAAAGTGCCGTGCCTGCATAACCCTTTTGGCTAAGCTCAATCTTACAAGCCCCACACTTGCAGGGCAGGTAGGCATGGCTTCGCCAAAACAACCTAATGGGCCAAAGGCAGAGGCACTTGATGGGCCCAGTTAAGACTGTGGGCTGGAGGTTCCTCATTCCTCCTGCATTAAACCATCGCTTAATTTGAAAAACTGTTGTTTAATGTGACAGGTAGACCAGGCTAATATCTTAAGGTGAGACAGAACCACACCACAAAAGGAAGAAGAGAGGTCTAAAGCACAGCTTTAGTCACATTTCTTCATCTTTAATACTGCCTAAAAACAAAAACAAAAACCTTAAGAGTCTTAAAGTTAAAAGATTGTAACTTACTAGAAATCTTGATGAATTTTTTTGGCAGTTGGAAAACTTTCAGAACTTCAAACTGGTGGAGGTACTCATGGGCTCTAAGCAAGGTAAGTCACAGATAGTTCTCATTATTACAGGATGTCACTGCAGTTTTAATGCCTGCACTTGTTATCAGAATCCTGAATGTTAAGTTTCAGCTTCAAGAGGCTGGAGATTTGGGGTTTTGTTTTTTTAATTGTCGTTTCTGGCGTTTTCACTTTCTGCTTGGAAGGTTAAATTTAACTGGATAAATTAGTGTCCTGATTGGCAGTGTTTAGCGTGCTAATGAACTGCACATTTTAAAAAATAAATAAAAAAGAACCACATATGAATTGATTTTTTTTCTTCCCCCTTAGTTCAACGAATGGTTCTGGATGATCACGAATTGATTCTCAGCAGATTCCAAGACATAAGAAAGGTAAACAAAGAAAGAGATGCCTACAGTACCACCCTCCCATATTTCTTTATTGAATCAATGTTCTCATTTTTACATCATTACTGGACTTTTATATTTAAACCAAACGAGAAGAAATTCAGACAAAAAGTTGCTAGCTCTTGCCAGCCACTGCTAATAGCTGCACATACCACTTTAAAATGCATCTAGTATCTCTTCAGTTCTGATTTGTGCATTCTGCTTCCTGGTGAGGCATCACATAGAAAAAAGCACCCCAGCTGTTGTAGTAACTACAATTCCTGAAGCAGCCAAAAAGCAGCTGTACCTCAAGACCTCCCATTAGCATTCGCCTCATCCCATTCTTTGGACAAGGAAAGAGCCACTGATGCTCACGATGCCTTGCTCATTACTTCAGTCCCCTGTTCGTCTATTTCTCAGCTGAATTCCTTTTGTTTCTGTGTAAAAACTACTCTGTGGGTCTTTCTATAGTTTACCTGTTTTAGAATGTTGAGACCTGCTCTGTACCATCCCATCCCACGTGTGTCCCCCAAACTCTTTGGGGGTTTTTAAACTGAAGCAAGTATCTTCTGTTTGAGCAAAGCTTGAAAATGTGTGGGCAGAATATGTCAGAAGGCAGGGGAGATAAAGGGGTTTTTCAGGGTCCAGCTTCTTCAGAGAACTCACCCCAACCTCAGCAAAAATGGCCAGGAAGAATTAGACATGCCTCCTTAAGGGGAAGGTGGTGTGGGAAGGTGAGCACCCTTAAAATAAATATATACCGTATTTTTCGCTCTATAAGACGCACCAGACCATAAGACGCAACTAGTTTTTGGAGGAGGAAAACAAGAAAAAAAATATTCTGAATCTCAGAAGCCAGAACAGCAAGAGGGATCACTGCGCAGTGAAAGCAGCAATCCCTCTTGCTGTTCTGGCTTCTGGGATAGCTGTGCAGCCTGCATTCGCTCCATAAGACGCACACACATTTCCCCTTACATTTTAGGAGGGAAAAAGTCACAGAGCAAAATATATGGTATATATACACACACAGTGGTGATGAAAGATATAGCCAGGGAATTCTGGGGACCTTTTAGGAATAGGTTTCCACAGGGTTAAAGCCTCCCTGTGGGCTGGCTTCTTTTTTTAGCATTATCAGAATATTCAGAAACAGAGGGAGTAGTTGACACGTATTTCCAAGGTCATTGGGTTAGGACTCTTCACAAATTCCTGTCTTTCCCTCTTGCCTTGTAGACTCTTGTTCCCTTCACTAGCTACCCCAAATTCCATTATCATCTTAACTCCTTCCACTGTACATTCATCTTGACGTATTCCAAATTACCTGGGGGAACTGCATATTTTGAGAAGGGTACTAAACATTACAGTATGCGTCTTTACTTGCATCGTGTATTTTCGTCATGGAATTCAGAGTTTTGTGACACGTAATCTAGAATTGTTTGAGAGGTTGCTCATAACTCTGGCATTTTGATTGCCATGCATTTAACCAGTACTCCTCAACCTTTTTCTAACATGTAGCACAAAATGAGAACAATTGCACAAGTCCAAACAAAAAGGAAGTTCTCTTACGCAGGCAGGCTTAGTGGTCTGGTAACTGTTTTTGGTAGTTGGAGGCAAGAGTTTCTGCTTATTGGAATCTTAACATTCTCTCTGTATGCCTTGTATTTATAATGTGTCTTTTCCCTTTTACAGACATCACTACGTCAGATGAATCAAACAAGATTTTACATTGTAGAAAACAATATATCAGCTAAGCGGGTACATTTGTTTGTTGGTGGTCTGCCACCTCATCTCTCTACAGATGAATACACAAACATCCTCAGAGATGAATTAAGCCTCAAAAGTAAGTTGCATACCAAAACAGTTTATGTTTTCATCTCTGGCTGCTTTCAGATGATCAAATGGCTAAATGAACTGACACATGAACAATCCTCACACATCCGCTTACATCTGCTTTGCCCCTACTTCACATGAGTGAGCCCACGGTTAACCATTGTTTCTCATTATGTCAGAGCTAGGAAACTATGGTTAGTAGCTTCCAAATAAGCCAAGACATGAAGCCATGGGGGGAATTAATCATCACGCTCTTCTCATGGTTTCATCAGCGTAAGCGTTTCAGCCTCTCCAACAGAATGATCTCCCCCTGGGTTGCTGTTCTGGGGGTTCTGCAGACCCCCCCCCCAAGCTGATTTGGAGGGGTTGCATGGAAAGGAGGAGAGGGGAGGTAAGTCCAGTTGTGCTAGTGGAACTTTTTGCACTGGCTTCCACTCACGCAGCTACTGATTTGACTCTGGACCCAGGGTTTAAAGATACAGTGGTGCCCCGCAAGACGGAAAACTCGCTAGACGAAAGAGTTTTCCGTTTTGGAGGTGGTTCGCAAAACGAATTTCCTATGGGCTTGCTTTGCAAGACGACAATGTCTTGCGAGTTCCTGCTGGGGTTTTTTTCCTCCCCCCCCCTTTTCGAAGCCACTAAGCCGCTTATCAGCTGATCCGATCAGCAGATAAGCCGCTAATAGCGCTAATCCGCTAATCCTTCAATGGGCTTGCTTCGCAAGACGAAAAAACCGCTAGACGAAGAGAATCACAGAACGTATTCTTTTCGTCTTGCAAGGCACCACTGTAGCTTCCTTTTACTGGCATGTGTGGAAGCTCTCAGGGCAGTTCACAATTCAGATATCATAGGAAACTATTAGTTAACTGAAGCTTTCTGGCTTGTTTCTCTACTCAGACAAAGGGAGGAGCAAAGCAGCTGTGTGTAGGTACATGAAGTTCATATCTTGCTTTATTAGGATGATATTTACAGTGGTGCCCCGCAAGACGAATGCCTCGCAAGACGGAAAACCCGCTAGACGAAAGAGTTTTCCGTTTTGGAGGTGCTTCGCAAAACGAATTTCCTATGGGCTTGCTTCGCAAGACGACAATGTCTTACGAGTTCCTGCTGGTTTTTTCCCCTCCCCCCTTTCTAAGCCGCTAAGCCGCTTATCAGCTGATCCGGTTAGCAGATAAGCCGCTAAAGCCGCTAATAGCGCTAATCCGCTAATCCTTCAATGGCCTTGCTTCGCAAGACGAAAAAACCGCTATACAAAGAGAATCACAGAACGGATTCTTTTCATCTTGCGAGGCACCACTGTAATTACCATTGTCAAATAAAAATCTATTTTAAATTCTGAAACACACTAAAAGGCACTCTGTCGTTCTCAGTCTTGTTTTTTGAACCTTCGGTGCATTATTTTTCTTGGTGCTATGTCTTATAAGTTGTAAAGCAGAGGCCAGTATTTAATGAAATGCCGCAAACATAGATTGTCACCTGTTCTTCCCCACAGTTATTTGTACTGCCTTTTATATTTGTTTTTTCTCTGAAACAATACTCATTGGGGTTTTAAAAAAATGTTATTTCTATTACTTTATATGAAAACCTGATTGGTTTTGAGCACACTTCATTTGTAAACCATTTTGAAGTATTTGGATGTTTAAAAGTTTGTTTGTTTGTTTATTTATTTATTTATTTATTTATTTGTTGACATCCAAGGATATCATACACAATCTTATATACATGTACAAAGAAAACATAAAACTAATAATAATAATAATAATGATAACCTTAAATAATTATACTGTTAATATTGATTTAAACTTGTACTTATACATGCTCTTTTCTTATACTTTCTAACTAAACAAAAATAAACCAAAGTAAAATCCAATAAACTAAACTATGTCAAAATAGACTTCCCGTCATTTCCCGATGTAATTTACATTTACAACATTGAATGTACTTATACTTAATACCTCACTCTTAATATATTTGCTAATACTTTCTTACAACATATCGTACCATTTTTCCTTATTTAATAATGTTTAAAGGGTCATTCAAACGCTGCCATAAATGTTATGTCGTTATTATATTTTTGTAGGTATTTCTTGAACATATCCCATTTTTGCGTGAATGATTGTTTTGTATTTCCCCTTAATCTATTTGTCAATTGAGTTTTAAGTTTTACATGAATAAGGTGAAATAAAATTTTATGTGGGCTTAAACAGATTGCGTAAAAGAGCCAGAAGCCAGCGAATTCTACTGGATTGTTTATATCCAGCTTGGCTGGGCTTCTGGCAAAGAGGGGGGATGTGGGGGGAAGTGAAGATATGTGGGTCTGTGGCCTAGCTATTGGACATTGTGTGATGCTCAATGCTATACAGTGACTACATGTTTCTCCTGACCACTTCATCACTTTTCAAAAATTGACCACAGAAGGAGCGAAGGTTCTCCACAGAAGCTCCATTGCACGCACAGAGCTATGCTTGCATCCCTTTGGAATCCCACCCATGCAGTGTTTGCTACAACAATTTAAATTAAGATTAATAGGCATCTTAAATACAATTTGTGTTTATTACTCAAGCTAATATATTCCATTAGCAGGATTTGGAACCAACTTTGTTCTGCTGCGAACCAGTTGATCCTGTTTATTGTCCTGAAGGCTTTTAACTTTAAATCCATGGGCAATTTGTGTTTAACATTCATGCATCTTCAAATAAACAAGACTGATCTCACAGAATGTGTGTAAAATGGGACATCATTAAATTTTAAAATTTATTTGGGTAACCTATAGTTTGTTTCCACCCCGGGGGGAAATAGACATTTAATGTTACACATAGAAAATAAGTTTTGCTTTTTCTACTTTTTCAGCAAATCTAGTTTCTGTGAGCCACGTATATTCATCTCAAGGTAAGACTATAGCGTTTTATCTTGAGTTTAACGGCTGTGTAAAAAGTGTTTGGTTATAAAGTGCCACCTTTGGGTCTGTTCAAATGTTTCGCATCCCTCGCTCTTCATATGGTGAGATTGGGAGAGGTATTTTGGCATGTCTGCTTCCTCCGAATCCCTTCAATGCATGTAGTAATCTAGTGATTTTTATATTCAAGCATAAGAGGCGCATAAAAGGTAAAGGGACCCCTGACCATTAGGTCCAGTCGTGGCCGACTCTGGGGTTGCGGCGCTCATCTCCCTTTATTGGCCGAAGCAGCCGGTGTACAGCTTCCGGGTCATGTGGCCAGCATGACTAAGCCACTTCTGGCGAACCACAGCAGCACATGGAAACGCCGTTTACCTTCCCTCCAGAGCGTTGCCTATTTATCTACTTGCACTTTGACGTGCTCTCGAACTGCTAGGTTGGCAGGAGCAGGGACCGAGCAACGTGAGCTCACCCCGTCGCGGGGATTCAAACCGCCGACCTTCTGATCGGCAAGTCCTAGGCTCTGTGGTTTAACCCACAGTGCCACCCGCGTCCCTTATAAGAGGCACATGGTGGGACCTTATTGTCCAAGTGTTTACTTCTTTTTGTGGTGGGGGTGCCGGGAGGAAGCATGCAGGTCTGAGACTTGCTTCTGAACTCAGCATATGTAGAGTACCAAATCAACCCCATGTTTCATCAAGGATTGGGAGAGAAACAACCTGCATTTCCTGCTCGTTTAGAGCGTCAGTAGGTGCCTGTCTTGACCACTTCTCTATCACAGTTTTCACTGGGACCAGGCAAGAAATTTACCCATGAAAAAAGCAGTACTCTCCTGGATAATGTTTACTGTTACCTTCAAACGTGTAGTTTGTTTTTACCACGGGTTGGAATGATTATGGTGGCAGTTGTACAACTGAATAATCCCTGCTCCAGTTTTACTGCATGCTACCAACATATTGCCTAGAGGTCAAGGATGTTTGGGAAGCACTTCATGACTAGAAACCAGGGCCACTCTCCTGCCCAAGCCTTGAGTAGGCTTTTCTTTCACAGGTGCATCCTGAAAACATAAGAGTTTTGTGCTGGAACCAAATGTGCATCCCATTTACAAAGGCTAAGAACATGATACTGTATTTTTCGCTCCATAAGACGCACCGTTTTTTTTGGGGGGGGATCAGCTTACAGTTGTGCAGCTTCTTTTGCAAAGGGGAAAAGCCCTCTTTTTGAGGATAAGCTCAAAGTTGTTGAGCTTACTTTGCAAAGGGAAAAAATCCTGTTTTTATGGGGTTCAACTCACAGTTCTGCAGCTTCTTTAGGAAAAGAAAGGGAGCTGTTTCTACAGTTTCCATACAGATAATCTAGGCCTGGGCAAGGAGGCGGGGCCAGAAAGGGAGCCAGCGATCGACCACACATTCGCTCTATAAGACACACAGACATTTCCCCTTACTTTTTAGGAGGAAAAAAGTGCGTCTTATGGAAAGAAAAATATGGTGCCTGCAAATATGTCAAAATGTACTTGTGAAGATGCAATTGCACTATAACAAAAACCAAAAACACCAGCCTGGAAAAACTGGGAACAAATGTGTATTTAGGAAAAAAAACAGATTATGCTGAAAGGTTCTGTGTTGCATACCTTCCTATGATGCCCATTTAAATCATACCATGCATCTTGTGTAATTCCTGTTTCAGTAATCATTTTAAGGGCGGAAATACACTTTACCATCAACACAGTCTACTTATCTCACTTTCTCCTGTAACGTGCAAGGATACTTACTCATGCTGTAACATAAATGTCACTGTCTCCACAAGCCAATGATGTGGCGCATGGGGAACAAGCAATATGAGCAAGAATGCCTTCTGAGGATTTTGTCTTGGAGCCCTGTTTCATGTTTCCCTTGAACAGATTTGAAATCCCCCTACTTTTCTTGACAACCTGTTGAAAAACATAGCAATTTGTAGCACAGCTGTCCTCTCTGGAGGAAGATTAAGTGCACTATTCAAGATGCTAAGTACTTATTGTCCGCTCTTACGTTTAGCTTAGATTCTGGCCCTATTTGAGCACTTAGATATTGATTTGCAGCTCTTCTGACCTTAAATGCTCATGGTCAGACGGCAAATTGATCTGGAAGGTGGTGTGCTAAGCACTAAAATGTCAAAGAGTGTTCTGTCTACGTAGGAATATGGGACATTGACGTATACCAAGTCAGAGTGCTGGTTCATCAGTCTCAGTGCTGTCTTCAGTGACTGGCAGTGATGCTTTAGGTCTTTAGGGGTCTCTCCCAAAGCTACCTGGAGGTGCTGAGAATTGGAACAGGAGACCCTTTGATGCAAAACATGTGCTTTACCACTGAGCCACAACCCTTTCCCATAGAAACTCCATTGGGAGAAACAGACCCTCTGTTGGGTAGAGAAGGTACCATCAAAAAGGTGTATCATAGCTGTGCTCATGTTGTCAAAGAATAACCTCAGTCACCCAGAGACACCAACCTGACCAGGTTTAGGCCTCTTTAACTTTTGTGAGCTGAGTTGTGTTCAGTGCACTCAATCTTCGTTGCATATACCCTTAGTGACACGATAAAGATATTGCATCATATCACTATGTGCATTTATGTGTGTATGGCCTTTAAAAAAATAATTCTTGAATTAATTTGTTCTAGGTGCTGTTGTACTAGAAATTTCATGTTTTGCTGAAGCCGAAAGACTCTATATGCTAGCTAAAGACACCACTGTTAATGACAAGCCACTAACTGCAGTTGTCATCCCTGAGGTTCTGGTAAGAACAATTGGCTCCCAAGTTCTATAAGAAATTAACTAATGCTCAGACGATAAATATAGCATGTTTCATGTGCAAAGCAGAGGTTGGATGGTCATCTGTCATGTGTGATCCAGTTGAGATTTCTGCATTTCAGTGGGTTGGACTAGGTGGCCCTCAGGGTTCCTTCCAATTCTACAATTCCATAATTCTGTGATTCTATGAACTCCACATGAAAATAAATTAAATCCAGCCCTACTTTGCTTGGCCATTTTACTCTGGCTACGGAGGGGATGGGAGCAATTAACAAATAAGGGAATGGAGCAAAGTTTACTGCCAACAAAGGAATGTGTGGTTATAAACAAAGAACAGTCATGTTTGATTTTGTCCTTAAAATAATGAGCTATTTTTGTTCTACCTAAAAGAAAAACAGCTTTAACATTTATAATCTTGAAGGATAGTTAAAATGTGGCTTAAATAACAAAGCTGTCTGTATGTTGAGAGCATAATGATGGATTAATTTACTCCACTTTAAGGTACCCTTTAAAAAATGAGTCCATATCTACTTGGCTCTCTTGAAGCCTGTTGTGTGAGCTCATAAGTAATTTCTAAACTACTTTGCCAAGTTTAAGCTTCTTGAAATATGAGAATGCATAGTGGCCTCTTAAGCAAGCATTTGCGTTAGTATGGGAGCCTCTTCCCTCTGGTGAGATTTACATGCCACTCAGCAAGGTATATGTGTGTGAAAGTAGCAGGTACATGAACGAGACCAACAGCTTAGGTCTTTCTCTCCAGACTGATTTATTCACTACCTAACCTGTTGGTTGCATTATTTTTGCAGTGCCGGATTGTGCTATTACTGGTGCTTGCATCTGGGGCCAGATCAGGTCGTGTTTTTTTCTTATGAAGTGTAGGAAAAATGGCATTCTAAATATAGGCTTTGAAGATTGCATGATGAATAATGGGTGCAGTTGCATATATCTTTGATTTATAATGCAGCTTTTGGAAAGCCTCCACTCTAACTTGAAGATAAACGGCGAGAGCGACAGTTCTTGCTGTTTTTCCATCACCATTGCAGAGGCCCCTGTGCATATTATTTTAATGCAGAAACTGGATTAACATAAATAAGAGTCGGGTTACACCAGCATTCACCAACTTGTTCAGGCCAGTGGGCACGTTCGGAATTTTGAGAAAGTTTCAGAGGCACCAGTAACAAAATGACTGCCATCGAGTTGGGGCATAACACAAATTGGGTGCCGTGGGAGCATATAGGACAGGCTGTACCTGTGCAAACAGGAACTGCACAGGAAGAACAAATAACATCTCATGCATTATGATTTTTAATGGTGGTATTTACAGTGGTACCTCAGGTTACATACGCTTCAGGTTACAGACTCCACTAACCCAGAAATAGTACCTCGGGTTAAGAACTTTTGCTTCTGGATGAGAACAGAAATCGTGCTACGGCGGCAGCGGGAGGCCCCATTAGCTAAAGTGGTGCTTCAGGTTAAGAACAGTTTCAGGTTAAGAACGGACCTCTGGAACGAATTAAGTACTTAACCCGAGGTACCACTGTACTGAAATTGTTTGCAGGCATCATAGGCAGTACCGTGCTGGTATACCCTGCTCTTCATCTAAGCAGCTTTGCCTTTGAGATGACTGAAGTCTCCCCCATCGACAGGCCAAGAAAATTTAAGATCACACATGGGAACAGAGGAGTTACTAGTTGATTTTCTCTGTTTAGCCCTGCATGGCTCTCATTTTCTCTGAGAATTGTGAGAGTGAAGAGCAGGAAAAACTGCTGCAGGAAGAGAGATGCAAAGATAAACAGGAGTGGCTTCTTATATTGAGCTTTGCCTTCATGGAAAGTAAAGCACGAAATTCACACACACGTAATGCTAAGCTGTAGTTTAGTAATACTAGAAGAAACTGCAGTGAGCTTTGCTCTTGCACTCCTGCCCCTTTTCTTCAGCAGCATGGCCATGAGGAGGACTTAAAAAGCTCTTTCTTCCATTTTAGATTGTTGTCATCTGGACCCAGAGTGTGGCTAATCTTTGCTAGGGTTAATGGAAACAAGCTAACTTCAAACCATACTGTATGAGCTATCCTGATTTAACTAACCATAGTTAAGACAAACCATGGTTTGTGATTTGAACATGCTCAACTGCTGTTAACCAAAAGTGCATTCAGAAGCACTAATGTTTATGTAATCATAGTGGTTTCACATTTGTTTCACTCCACATACAATCACTAGGAAGTTGAGGCCCATTGTAATCATGCCAAGTATTCTAATGATTAAAAGGGAAGAGCTGTTCTAGTGCATATAGAATATAAAAGCAGAATAATATTCCTATCTGAACTAGCTAGTTACAGTCTTTTAGACTCTGGGGTTCTTTTTCAGGTGTGTGTGTGTAAATTTAAACCAACAATTAAGTAACAATGAAGTAAGTACCAATGGATGAGGGTGAACGGTGGTTTATGATTGGCCATCAGACCATAATTTGAAACTATGGTCTGGAGTGGGTTAGCAAATCATGAATTGTGCTAACCGTGGTTTACATGTGATATCTGAATTTACCAACCTGTAGTTAGCACTGTTGCACTGCCTCTGGTGACCTGTGAATCTTAAGTATTGAACAAATGGAAAACCAAAGCAGAGATCTGTTCTAAAGCATAGTTTGCCAGTGTGGTCAGCAGCTCAGCATTTTTTTCAGTTCCAAATTGTGGTTAGTGCGAACCATGGTGTGATGTCTGATATATCTCATGATGTATCCTGCCATTGTTGATCTGTAGGCACAAACAGATCTGGGTTTGGTTGTGTTAGGTCATTCATTCTATGCAGAATAAATCTCTCTCTGTAGCTGCCAGCTCTTATTTGCCTAAACTAACAAAAGTTGCTTTCTTCCATTGCTGGTATGATTACCAGTTGCCTACTGAGAAAGAAGCAAGCTGTCCATGTGTTTTAGCAGCTGCCTGAAACAATCAGTACCTTATCCTCAATTCCGATTATAAATTGAGGATTGTTGCAATCTTGCCTCTGTCATGAACTCAGAGTGGCACCGCATTTTGTGTAAGAAAACATTATTGGTGTGGGTATGCTAAGTCTTGTTTGGAGCAAGTGGGTGCAGTGTTGTTGTTGTTTAGTCGTTTAGTCGTGTCTGACTTTTCGTGACCCCATGGACCAGAGCACGCCAGGCATTCCTGTCTTCCACTGCCTCCCGCAGTTTGGTCAATCTCATGCTGGTAGCTTTGAGAACACTGTCCAACCATCTCATCCTCTGACGTCCCCTTCTCCTTGTGCCCTCCATCTTTCCCAACATGAGGGTCTTTTCCAGGGAGTCTTCTCTTCTCATGAGGTGGCCAAAGTATTGGAGCCTCAGCTTCAGGATCTGTCCTTCCAGTGAGGACTCAGGGCTGATTTCCTTCAGAATGGAGAGGTTTGATCTTCTTGCAGTCCATGGGACTCTCAAGAGTCTCCTCCAGCACCAGAATTCAAAAGCATCCATTCTTCGGCAATCAGCCTTCTTTATGGTCCAGCTCTCACTTCCATACAGTAGGTGCAGTAGGAACAGCATATACATATCTTTTTAAACAAGTTGTGTACACATGCCGAAGCCCCAGCCCCATCATTCATCCCAGGGATACATTTAAAGAAGCAAACATGTTGATTCTACTTCAAACAGAAAACATGATGGTTGCCGTTACAGTTGAAGTATGGAACTGCCCTCTTACTGGGCGCTGTTAGATATGCCACTGCTTTTGAACCACCACCTGATTATCTTACAAGATCGTCATGGTTTGCAAGTTAGTTGTAAGCTGCAATAATGTTTATGAACCACTTCAGACATAATAAATGAGCTGTATAGCTGTTGCTTGTTAATGTGTTTGTGGGATGCTCTCCCCAGGGAGGCTTGCCTGGAGCCTTGATTACATATCTTCAGGCACCAAGCAAAAACAGTCCTCTTCTATAGCCTTTTAAACCGGAGGAGTATTGTTTGGTTTTTATTGTGTTATGTATTTTTGTGTTTTTATACTGTAAACCGCCCTGTGGTTCTCAGATGAAGAGCAGTATATACATGTAATAAATAAATGTGTAGAAGAGCTAAATTATAGTTCACCACCTGTGTACATACTACTTCCCAAAAGTACAGAATTTGCATGATTTATATTGTAGGAAATGGTTTAGTTCCTTATTTAGCCTTAAGTGCTGAGCTCCTGCATTGCTTGCATGTACAAAAAAGAGGGGCAAAAACACCCCTGTAATTCTTAAAATTGTTTTTTTTTTAATGCTGCAGTGAAAAAACCTAAAACTGAGAATGAGGTAAAGTAGATAGTGCCCTGAGCCTCTTAGAAACCCATGTTTTATGTTTTCCTTTTTTAGGCTTCATTGGGTATTTTTGGAATGGTGTCTGTTTGAGTACATGTGCAGCGTTGCTTAACCACTACTTTCCCCCTCTTCTAGCAAACCAACCTTCCTCAGAACTGCTGCCCATTGCTTGTATTTGTGAATCCAAAGAGTGGAGGACTTAAAGGCCGGGCTTTGCTCTACAGTTTTAGAAAACTGTTAAATCCTCATCAAGTCTTTGAACTAACGAATGGAGGACCACTGCCTGGGTAATTATTAGGTTTTATTTTGTTATTTTGTTTGTTTGTTTTTTTGCAAGTGGTAATTTAATGGTGTGCTGGGCTCCTTGCTTTCATTCTTCCACTTCCTAGTCTTGAAAGAAAATTGTACAGTTCAGCCGCTGGAACTAAGCTGCTTGATCCTCAACAATGCTTAGGTGGAGAGACTATCTGAGAGCCACATGCAAGGTCCTTGGAGAAAGAATTGGGTGTATATACCATGAATGAAACCAGTAACCTTTCCCTCCCACCTCACCCTTTCCCCTCCTTGAAGCCCCTTCCATGATATGGCATTGTGTGTGATAGAGCTGGTTTAAGAATTCGTACTTTGGGTGCAATTCAACATTGCACTATTACAATCGTGCCATCAGCACAAGTATTTCTCCTTGCCAGGTAGAAATGTCTGCTCTCCCCTCCCCCCACGCAGTGATGTGGAGGTTCTCCCAACCTCCCAGAACTGATTTGGGGTGGGGCATGCACAGTGGGAGGAGAGTAGGGCTGGGCGATACCTGGTTTTCAACATTGATATAGCATCAGCTAAACACCGTGAGATACTGATGCAGCACGATGTCTGAAATAAGGATGGAGCTATGTAGAGGCATTGGCTGGCTTCATGGTTTCCGCCCCCACATACAGTGGTGCCCCGCAAGACGAATGCCTCGCAAGACGAAAAACTCGCTAGACGAAAGGGTTTTCCGTTTTTTGAGTCGTTCCGCAAGACGAATTTCCCTATGGGCTTGCTTCGCAAGACAAAACGTCTTGCGAGTTCTTGCGAGTTTGTTTCCTTTTTCTTAAAGCCGCTAAGCCGTTAATAGCCGCTAAGCCGCTAATAGCCGTGCTTCGCAAGACAAAAAAACCGCAAGACGAAGAGACTCGCGGAACGGATTAATTTCGTCTTGCGAGGCACCACTGTAGTGACTTTTGATAGTGCACACACACATCATGATTTGTGATATATTGCCAGGTCAAAAATTGCGAAACTGATATCACAATATGGACTTCACACCGATTTGGGATGATATATCGCCCAGCCCTAGAGGAGAGGGAGAGAAAGTCTAATTTAGCTCCTTCTAGTGCAACTGTTCAGCTGAATCCAACCCATGGTTCATTTTTACTTAAAACTGTTTTCTCACAATGTCGCCATAAAGGCATACTTGCTTTCAACATTTGCCAGCAAACAAACACAAGGGTTGGGTTTTGAAAAACTGTTTAAGGTGCTTCCAAGGTCTTAGCAGCTGTCTAGTGGGATTTGTTAGGGGTTTCGTTTTTTCTTTGAACATAGCTGCTATGCTGTGCCATCAATAATTTCTGAAACCCCGTGCTTTAGTAGTGGTGTAGAGCTCCTGTTTGCAGATTGCCAATCCAAAGCCTCATGGATGTGCAGGACTTCTTGTCCACGTCTTTGGACCCCAGCCATCAGTTTCAAAAGCTTTGCATTGTGGAAACTGGGCACAGCTGCAGTGTGAGGAGTAGTACAGCTGAGGATGATCACTGCCAATGCCAAAAGACTCAGTGGCATTGGGGATGTATACCCCTCGTGTCAAATAATAAACCTTTTCACCATTTCCAACAGCTTTTACTGTCAGCTAACAGAACTGTAGGGGTGGGCTTAATAAATAGCATTTCTATTTTTACATCTGGCATTTGGCAGCAGTTAAACAAATGCAACAGAAGCTCATTTGTTTGTACAGTGATGTCCCAAGTGTGAACTGAGAGTGAAAACTGCAAAGTCTAATGATCTTTCTTGTCTTTTATTGAAAATTAGAGTGAACTGTTATTATCTGACTTAAAGAGTCAATCTATTTTCCTTTTGCAGTTTGCTACATCTTTAAGTCTAGGGAAGCGGTGGCCCCTATTATTTCTATAGGATTGTTTATATTTTAGTATGATGAAAGCCTCCTTGGGGAGCTAACCTTCCAAGTGTTGAAATAAATAAGTGTGTATAATGCTTTTTTATTAAAAAAAAATCAATTAAAATTGCTACCAGTGGTTCTTTGTTGTACTAGTAGTTGGGGTCTTTTTCACTCTCTCTTTTTAGCATTAGGCTAGCTAGGCATGTTTCATATACACTTGGAAACCACTTGGTAAGTCCCATAATACTCTGGAGATAAACATGTGGTCCTGCATTCGAAGAACTGCACAACTTGTTGGAAGGGAACTTTGGATCACAGGAAACACATATTTTTGAGACTTAGGCTACAACCCTATATCCACTAAATAATTAGAGACCTGAATGTGTGTTTGAATTTAACAGCATTCCTTCAAATAAGTTGTGCTCACTTGTGTTTTGCTTTTTATATTGAAGGTTTCACACATTCTCTCAAATTCCATGTTTCCGAATACTGGTGTGTGGTGGCGATGGCACTGTTGGTTGGGTTCTTGGCGCCTTGGAAGAGATCAGACACAAGCTTGCCTGTTCAGAGCCGTCTGTGGCTATTTTACCTTTGGGAACAGGTGAGTTTAAAACTGGATTTCAGAAACAGCAATGCAAAATTGTTATTTGCACTCATGACTTCATAGGTTCCCTCCTCCCCTGAAAATACTCTGGTTTGCTGTTCTGGCGAGCAGGATATTTGTTAATGATGAGGTCAAGTGCAACAAAAAGTTTAAAGCATTGTGTAATGGGAATTGGGGTTGCTTGTGCGTAGCGGGTGCGGATGCTCTAGGCAACGTTCCCTGGCTAAACCTTTCCCTGGCTGGACAGCCCTTTCTCCATGGCTGTGTCAGTCACTGGCAGAATCCGTCAGTGGACGTTTCCTGAACTTCTTCCAACATAAAAACTCCTTGACGCCAAGTCTCCACCTAGCCTCCCTGCACGGAAGTCTTCTGTGCAGAGTGGGCGTGGCCAGCGGAGGTCTGGACTCTCCCCGCTGGTCTCTGTGGAAGAGTCTTGGAGCCATCTCTCCGAAGTCCTTCCCTGCTCCCCTTCCTCCCCGGTGTCACTCTGATTTCCTTCCCCAAAGGAAGTGTTCTCTCTCCCTCTGCTGGTCCCTTCTCCTGCATCGTCGGGGAGCCTTACCTCCACTCTTGGCTCCGATGGCAGTTCCCTGACACATTGTAAATTTGCAGGTTACATTAAAAGAAAAATGTGGCACAGAAGTAGGTAGTAGCCACAATCTGTTTTGGAGCGAGGGCTTTTGCTTTCATATAGGTTGTTAACAAAAACTTGTCCCTTTTAAAAACAGGTAATGACTTGGGGAGGGTGCTCCGCTGGGGTGCTGGATATAGTGGCGAAGATCCATACTCCATTCTGATATCTGTAGATGAAGCTGATGATGTTCTTATGGATCGCTGGACCATCCTTTTAGATGCTCAAGAGGCTATTGAAAGCGCAGAAAATGGCGTGCTAGAGCCTGAGCCTCCTAAGGTATTTTTCTCGTGTTTATTTTGTTATCACCCCGCCCCTGTTACGCCTCCTTTTCTGGCCGCTTCTGGGTTGCCGTGATGCATGTGTGTGTGTGTTGTTGGGTGTCATTGGATGTGCGTGAATCGGCCGTTGCCTCTAGTTGAAGGGGTTGTGATGTGAATGTTCCGTTCTGCTTGTTGGAAATTAAAAATTCTGGACTAGGTTGTAAAATTTTACTTTTCCTATTTTATTAGATTGTGCAAATGAACAATTACTGTGGCCTTGGAATTGATGCAGAGCTGAGCCTAGGCTTTCATCATGCCAGGGAAGAGGAGCCAGACAAATTCAATAGCAGGTATGTGGGCCCTGTTCTTGTGCAAATGGATAAAACTTTCTCATTCATATTCACAGAGAAAAACATGGATGCTTATATCTTTGACACTGCCTAAGATTATTTTGTTCCTGCTGTAACATTTTTGGCCTCTATATATAATCCCTATATATAGATATATATATTTACTTTTAAATATATATATTTACTTTCCCCTGGGGTATCAGGTACATCAATAAATGGACATTAGCTTGGAATTGTCCCATGGTGTAGGCAAAGCCTTATTTCCACTTACATCAATATGAAACAGGTGGGTGTTCTGTGAATTGGAACCATGTAGGCAGGATCTGTGATGTGGTTTTCCCTGTCTGATTTAAACCACTACCAAGATCTGTTTACATGACTGTTCTGAAGAGCTTCTTTCTTTCACAACTGCAAACCGTAATTAGTTGGCCTCAGCTTAACCCATCACTGCAAAATCTGTGTTTTTTAAGATGAATTAGAATGTTGTGGACTTGCCTGGAAGTTCGGACCACAGTTTAGGGTGTTCTGACTATTCAGTATTCCTTAATGATCAGAAGCCAAGCTTCCAGTTACATCCTTTGTTAGGGAATTTTGGGTATGTGGTCTTGAAAGGCTATGAATCTCCTTAGGAAGCATTCCTCTCATCATCCCCGCTAAGGATAAATAATGGGAAACTAGGTTTGGGTGTGTACAGGAACAAAGAAACTACAGTGGTGCCCCGCAAGACGAACGCCTCGCAAGACGGAAAACCCGCTAGACGAAAGGGTTTTCCGTTTTGGAGGCGCTTCGCAAAACGAATTTCCCTATGGGCTTCCTTCACAAGATGAAAGCCCATAGGGAAATCTCCGGGACAGCGGGGAAGCGCAGCGCGTCTTCCCCACTGTCCTCGGACCTCCTCCGAAGGCTGGCGGTGGGGCGGAGAGACCTCCTCCCGCCGCCAGCCTTCGGAAGGCTGCTCCGAAGCCTGGCAGTGGGGCGGAGAGACCTTCTCCCCGCGCCAGCCTTCGGAAGGATGCTCCGCAGGCTGGCGGTGGGAGGAGGTCTCTCCGCCCCACCACCAGGCTTCGGAAGGCTGCTCCGAAGCCTGGCGGTGGGGCGGAGAGACCTCCTCCCGCCGCCAGGCTTTGGAAGGATGCTCCGAAGCCTGGCGTTGGGGCAGAGAGACCTCCTCCCGCCGCCAGCCTTCGGAAGGCTGCTGCGAAGCCTGGCAGTGGGGCGGAGAGACCTCCTCCCGCTGCCAGGCTTCGGAAGGCTCCTCCGAAAGCTGGCAGTGGGGCGGAGAGACCTTCTCCCTGCGCCAACCTTCGGATGGCTGTCCTGAAGACTTGCGGTGGGAGGAGGGTTTTCCTTCCCACCGCCAACATTCAGAATGCTGTTCTGAATGTTGGCGGTGGGGAGGAAAAACCCTCCTCCCACCGCAAGCCCCGTGAACAGAGGAGAAGCGCTGCGCCCCTTCCCCTCTGTTCCCGTACCTGTCCTGAAGGCTTGCGGTGGGGAGAAAAGCCCTTCTCCGCACCGCCAGCCTGGCAAGCGGTTTCCATAGGAACGCATTAATTGATTTTCAATGCATTCCTATGGGAAACCGTGCTTCGCAAGACGAAAAACTCGCAAGAAGAAAAAACTTGCGGAACGAATTAATTTCGTCTTGCGAGGCACCACTGTAGTTTGAGTGAGTTTTAGAGGGGGGCAAGGGAGAGATGGATGAACTGGGAGCTGAAGAAAGGTAGGCACTATTTGGGGTTCTGGAGATCTGACGGGGCAGTGGAATTGTTGTTTGTAAGAGTGATACAAGGTGTACCTCCACCTATGCTTAAATTGTAGATTTGTAAGTAAACACAAATATTACATAAACACCACTTTCAACATAGCTCCCTAGTAAATATTCATAGGATCAAACTGTTTTTTTCACTCTGAATTCAATTTCCTGATTAGATTTCTGGACATTTGTTTTGATATTTCCATTTAAGGGTGTATTTAGCCAGGTTATGCTATGAAACAGCAGGCTACCAGGGAAGATCAGTAGGTTTGTTTTGAATTGTCCCATTCTTGGGAGCTGTAGTATGTAGTTGTACATGTTCAACCTTTTTGTGTATGTGTTTTAGCTTGTGTTTTAGCTATATTCTGCACCTGAGTATTTTCTTACCTTAAAAAGAAACAAATGAGTCTCCCTGAACACATTTTCATCTTCAATTTTAATCAGCAAGGAAAGCAAAACAGTGATGCAATATGAAGTGTTCTGTTTGTGTTGAACGAATACTTTCTTTTTCTAGGTTTCACAACAAAGGTGTCTATGTAAAAGTCGGATTGCAGAAAATGAGCCACACAAGAAATCTTCATAAAGAAATAAAACTTCAAGTGGACCAGCATGAAGTTGAGCTTCCAAATATTGAAGGCCTTATTTTCATTAATATTCCCAGGTAGAAACCATACATATGTCTGTGCATGCGGTTTTGTCAGAGTTCTTGTCTTTTGGAGGAAAAGAATCCTGCTGTTATGATTGCACCCTGTTCTACATTTTAATAGCCAAAATCTCTTCAATAGGATTCTTCCATTTAGCTTTAGCTTCACTGGCACTGAAAGTATATCACAGTTGGTCAGGTGTCAGCAAGAACCGTTTGCAGAGTTGAAATACATTGATTTGAAGAGAGGCAACTATTTTGATAAAGTGTGGCCCATTTCAGAAATGTGTAAAGACACACGTTAACACACAGAGAGTCTGGGCTGCTCTGTTCATTCCCCCTTCTGCCTTTGTCCATTCAGCTTGCGATGGTTTGAAGAGCTGCCTTATATTGAGTCATACCATTGATCCTCCTAGCTCAGTAATCATTTGTTCCAGTTGGCAACAGCTTTTCATTGTTTTCCCAATTCTTTCCCTCCCCCCTTCAAACTAGAGATGCCAGCAGCCTTCTAAGTGCAAAACATGGGCTACATCACTATGTTCTTATTCCTTTAAATATAGAGTTACAGCACAAATGAACTGAACAAAACCAGTGCTACTAACGTTCTTGATGAAATAGACCCAGACAAACCTTAGATAAATCAGCATCTGTTCAAAGAGTGGTCAGATGCAAATGCATAATAATTTTTAAAGGAGAATTGGAAGAAGGTTTTGATGATGATTTTTAAAAAAAAATCTATACATTTTCTTTATGTAAGAAATGTTTGTTTTCTTTCTAACGTTTCTCAGTAAATTAAAAGATAATGTATTATGGGCCTGGTATTCTGACTCAACCTAAACTGCAGGACTAGTTTCTTACACAGTCATATTCCCCTCCAAATAAATTGTATAATGATAGCACATCTCTTAAGGTCCCTATATCATGTCTAGATAGTATATGCCTCTCTAACTAGAAAATCTCCATTCTAGCTAAGCAGCTTGATAGACTAGCTGATACATTATGCTTGCTGGTGGAGTTAGGGTTCATCATGATATCCGTTCTCTTCTTATTTATATATCTTCATGGCAGAACCTTTAAAGTGTTACTAGATTAGCATAAAGTATTTGTAGTTAGTGTAAGGTTAAATTCTCACCTCCACTTCGTTTAGTAACTTGTGCTGTCTTCTGAAGTATCCTAAAGTGCCCTCTGCTGGTCATTAAGTCAAAAGCACAGAGTCTGCCAGGACTTTCGTGATAATCAGAGTGCCTTGTAGATCTCTGGCCCCGATGGCGATATGAAAATCTCTCTGGACAAATCATTACTCCTAGACAGAAGGGCTATGTTCACAGCTGGTTATGGTTCCTTTAACTCCATGCTTAACAAAGTTGTAGTTTGAACACAACTCCAGCTTTATCTGCCACTACCAAAAGTGAAATACATACTTGAGAGGACATATTTGCATTTTACACAGCCGAATGAGTACTATGCCTGTCACATCTTTTGCCTCCTTGTGGTCAAATTGCAACCATTCTGTTTCAGTGTGTTATGGATTTTAACATCACAGAACTAAAAAGCATCACATGAGTGTTTTGATGTTGCCAAGCAATGAGAAGCCTACCTGGGAGGTGGTTTGAGGGCACAAGTATGACTTCTGAAGGAAAAATAAGTTTAATGAATATATTAATGATTAATTGAATGGGAATGGACTCTTTTTGCTCCCCCGCCTTAGAGGTTCAAAGTGGTCCCTTCCAGATGTTATTGGACTGCAGCGCTCATCATCCCAGACCACTGGTCCTTCTAGCTGGGGTGGATGGAGCAACATCTGGATGGCACCATGTTGTTGAAGGAGTTTCCCACCCCCAGCTCCATTCACTTCAGTGGGTGCATCTCCTTTCCTGCACCTTCTCTCCAGCTTTTTAATGCTATGGGTCAGGGCAGCTCACAGGGCCACTTAAGAAGTGTCAACAAAAGAAGCACAAGTGACTCTGCACTTCTGGACAGTAGAAGACATGGGCCTCATACTTCTGCTGTCATTGCTTCTGTAAGAAGTATGAACTATAAGCATGAAGGTTGCTGGTTTGGGAACATATTCATGTAATTATTTTATGTTATGTTATAAAATAATTCTCTGTAGGAGGATATTACACTGCACTGATGAAAGAACAAGGTACTTGCTTTTGAAAAAATTGTTACTTACAGTTATTTTGTATTATGTCCAGCTGGGGTTCTGGTGCCGATCTTTGGGGGTCTGATAACGATAATCGGTTTGAAAAACCAAGAATTGACGATGGCTTACTAGAAGTAGTTGGTGTCACTGGAGTTGTTCACATGGTAAGTCTAGTGTTAAACGTCATTGCATTCGGCTAAATCAGACAGAACCATTAGCACCTTATGTCTAAAAATATCTTCCTTTGACTCATAAAGGCAATGTGATGCCAATCATAACAGTATTTTCACCCCATTTGACTTGACATGGGATGCCTTAAGTCATAAATGAAATTTAAATTGATATCTAAATGAGAGGTTGTAAAAATAAACTGTATTGGTGATCAAAGTACAGTGCAACCTTGGTTCTCAAACTTAATCCATTCCGGAAGTCCATTCGACTCCTGAAATGTTTGAAAACCAAGGCATGGCTTCTGATTGGCGCATGCGCCCCGGAAACAATAGCCAACAGCTGCATCAGATGTTTGGCTTCCAGAAAACATTCAAAACCTGGAACACTTACTTCCGGGTTTTTCGGCATTGAGGAGCCGATTTGTTCATTAACTAAGTTGTTTGAGAACCAAGGTTCCACTGTATTCTCTTACCATTCCCCCCCCTAATAAATACATTCTCTGGTCACAATTCTGGGAATGTTTCATGTGAAGAAAAACTTAGGAAAGATTTCCAGAATTGTAAATATCTAGTACACTCGTGCTATAAGTTTGATAAATACTTTATCTTGTAAAACAAGTTTGTGGTTTCTCTTTACATTGATATTTGATTTTGAAAGGACGGTTCTGATTGTTCTTCATAGGGTCAAGTCCAGGGGGTCTACGTTCAGGCATCCGAATAGCCCAGGGCTCCTACTTCCGGTTGACGCTTCTGAAGCCAATCCCAGTACAAGTTGATGGAGAGCCCTGGATCCAGCCACCAGGCCAGATCATTATTTCTACAGCAGGACCAAAGGTATTGATAAACATTTTGTGTTGGGAATGTTATATAGATATGGCATTAAAATGCATACACCCTATACCTATAGACCAAGGCAGCCCAACTTTTCATACCAAGTGGGCCACACACTGCCTTGCCAAGTGGGGAGTGAGGGAGGCTAATATTTGTGTCCCCCCCAAACCTTTGCACTGCCTTCCCAAAGCTGGCTAAGCAAGGTGCCGGGCTTTAAGGAGGAGGTGCAAGACTTTAGCAGGGTCCTGTAGCCCTCCCGGGACACAAGTGGCGCTGTGGGTTAAACCACAGAGCCTAGGGCTTGCCAATCAGAAGGTCGGCAGTTCGGATCCCGTTGCTCGGTCCCTGCTCCTGCCAACCTAGCAGTTCGAAAGCACGTCAAAGTGCAAGTAGATAAATAGGTACCGCTCCGGCGGGAAGGTAAACAGCGTTTCTGTGTGCTGCTCTGGTTCGCCAGAAGCGGCTTAGTCATGCTGGCCACATGACCCGGAAGCTGTACGTCGGCTCCCTCCGCCGATAAAGCGAGATGAGCGCCGCAACCCCAGAGTCGGCCACACCTGGACCTAATGGTCAGGGGTCCCTTTACCTTACAGTCCTCCCACCTCCTTCCCAAAGCTGGGAAAATTCTAACTAGGCTTTGGGAAGGAGACACGGACTCTAGGACCCTGTCACAACCCTCACACTTCCTTTCTAAAGCCCAGTGCCTCACTTAGTTGGCTTTTGGAAGGTGGCACGAGGGTTGGGTGTGTTTGTGTCAAATGTTGCTGTACTTGGGTCATGCATTGGACCACCCTACTAGGGACCATAAATATTCACAACAATCTTAATCCATGTTGGCTTGTTAAGCTGCATGAGCTTTGTGCCTGCAGCCCCATTCTCCCTCCCTACCTTCTTGGCATGCTGTGACGGAAGTCTTCCTGGCTTAATTTACCATAGTTTCCTATTACATCTGAACCAGAATCAGAAGAAACCAGGATCCAAAACTAATTTCAGGCATGGTTTTAAATTGTGGTTTCTTCCAATTCTGGCCATTACAATTTTCCATTAAGTTAATTTACCCGGGAAGTTTTTATTGTTAGCCTGCCAGAAAGGGCTGACTGGTGCAAGCATAATGCTCTTGCACATTTCAGCTTGTAGAACTGATGTTGCATCCAAAATGGGCAATGTCTAAGGTAGGGTTGGCTAACCCACAGCCCAGATCCAGTTCACCAAGGTGCACTGTGTTATCTCTTGAGAAAGATGGATGGATTAAAAATAAGTAACATCTGTGCTATGGGGGTGTTTTCTTAGCATGTATGCTCTGAAATGTTGAAAGAGTCCATGTCAATTAAACGCCCACCTTTAAATCTCAACTCTAGTCTACCCTAGCAGCCTTTTGTTATGTATTTTACCAATACCTGTAGATGGGAAAGAAGAAAATGGGGTGTAAAGCTGCTTGTTGACATTAAGAAAAAATTCTTTCGAATAAGGATGGATTTCAAGAAAGGTTGTGTTGTGGTGATTGTTTTTAACATATTTATTACAGGTTCATATGTTAAAGAAATCAAAACAGAAACAGAAAAAATCAGGAAATTTAAAGGACTCAAGATCTGAGAGCATGATGGTCAATGAAGTGGGTCGCTGATGGAAAATGATATCCACAGAACAAATGCAGCACACCTACTATAGACGAGAGGATCTGCCTGGTGTAAAACTGTATTTGTACAGTTCCAAGTTAAGAATTGGTTGCACAAGAGCCTGTTGTAATTATATTTCCATGTTTGTTGTACAGTGCCTATCCTGTAGCCGACATGAGATTTAGTTTATGCATCTCATGTTGGTCGGAGAAGTTCGCATTAGGTAGCCTTTCCATAAACCATTAACCAGTTTTTGCTTCATGCCCGTAGCCAATAGAGCAGAGATCCCATTATGCCGTGCTCTTTATATACTACGTTTTCCTCGCCTTATTCTCCCTGGGAGTCACTTATTTTTATAAAATAAGTTTTTAACCCTTAAAAACACACCCCAAACCTACTTAAAGAGTTTTAAAGCTACCCCGGCGTTCCCCAAGAGGGAAACATGGTGAAGGGATAAAATTGTCACTTTTGTGTTGTTGCTGATTACTTGTGCAATAATGCTTTAAGTAGGATTGGGAGCAAATGGATATCATTCCAGCGGCACAATCCCATTTTCCGCTGCACTAGGTGTGCTGCCACCATGCCAAAGTTCGCTACAACGTTCCTGGCAGATTCCAGTTAAGGGAGGCTCTTCCAAACTGCATATAAAAGAGATCCAGCCGCTCCTTCCCAAGTCTGCAAAGCACAGATTACCCAACACTCCCTTGACTGGAAAGATGCACTCAGCAGAGAGCTGGCAGGCTTGGCTGAATGCAATGGGGATCACCTCCCGCATGCATAGCTCTGTATGGATTGTGCCTCGGATATTTAGCTACTTTTTCATTTGCCTGCATGAACACTTCCACACTACTCAATGGCTGTGTCTACATGTAATGGTAAACAACGTCTTATCATCCAGACCAGGGATTGTGGTTCTCAGTTTCAAAGCTAGCCAGCTGCAAACCATGATTCTGCTTGTCATATGAACCAGTTTTGTTTTAAGCCACAATCCCTTGTCCAGAAAGGCAAGACTGGCTGACATTCAGGAAAAGGAAAACTAAACTCTGGCGAAGTTCTTCTTCTGATGGCTTAATGTGTGAACATGGCCAGTGAACCCTAAAAACCTAATATAATTTTATCTATTTTTATACTGCACAATCTTTTTCTATACACTACAAGCTTCTGGTTTTCTCCATTTCTCTCTCTCTCTTTCTCTCTCTCTCTCTGTTTCTTTTTTATAGTTCAGGTCCCTATATTGAGATTTTTCTTACTTCATTCCCTAAATTCTAATTTCATTCCCTAAATTATTATTCTAATTTCGTTCCCTTAAATTATTTTAATATACAAAGAGACTATGAATGGCAAACCAATAATCAGTAAATATGGCACAATTTAGTAAACAAATCAGCATTCAATTTATGTTAAGTATTGATACACTAAGTTGAAATATGCCTTAGTTTCTTCTCTGTTGATGAACTGGTCTACATGTTTGTTTGTCTTTAAAGTGTGTCTTATGTGACTAGATCTAGATGTGGCTGTACTGATTGTGCAGATAAAAATGCCGCATAGAAAGGTCCTTGCGTATAACTATAGGGAATCATTCCCTGCTCTATATATTGACCATACAAGGAAATGTTAATGCAGACTCTGTTCAGACATAAGGCTAAGCTATGGTTTGTGGTTATGTGAACAAGCTGCATCAAGTCTCAGACTTGCACTCTCTCCCACTTCCTTCTCCAGTATTATCATGAGGAGATTAGAAGCTTCTACTTCAGTTTTGCTGAATTGTAACTTGTTGTTATATCTGAACCTGGACAAACTATGGTTTATGAGTTATGAAGCTGGCATGTTTCAGTAAACCGTAGTTGAAACTGACCACCGTTTAGAGCTTAGACATGATGTGAAACTAGTTAATCCAAAATGGAAGTAAAGGCTTCCGATCTTTTCTCAACTATGCTACACTTCATTCCTGTAATGATAAAACCATCATTTATCATTTCAGGGATCAGCCACTGCATGGATACGAGGAGATAAATCATAGTTTTTCATTGTGTCCAAATGAAGATAGTATCTTTCTGTGGATGCTAATCGCAGAAGGAAGATTAAACAAGATAGCTGGTGACTTTAGCATTGTTTCTGATAATACCAATACAAGCTGTATTTAATTATGGAGAGAGTATCATTACTCCTGAATGCAGAAGCAGTAGCAGTACCCTCAAACAGGGTCAAAATCCTATAGATGCAACATTGCGTCTTTCAGATGCTTTTGCAACAAATATTCTTAGGCCGCCTTTGTCCATCTGGAAGCAACCTGAGAGGGCTGTGGTAGCCGCAGTACTGCACTCGTCATCTGTTCTAATACCCCATTTCGTATGTAGTTAATGAGAACATATCAAGCTTTTGTGCACAACTATGGCTTTTTTGAAAACGGTGGCATGCACAGCATCAGAAAAGCAGTAAAAGTGAGCAACTCCTTTCCCGCTCCACCAGGCATTCATGCCTGGGACACTTTGCAACCTAAAGGAACTGCAAGTTGCTCTGGTTTGCAGCAGGTACTCCCGTGAGCAGCTGTCTCATTGCATGCGTAATTGCTGCAGAACAACTCTTCCTACACAACAGGAATGTCTGCTGGAGCACTGTCATTTTGACGCGGCAGTCACCGCTGCAAGTGTCTCCTGGGAGAAGGGTGGCGTCGGGCCTGGACCCACCCAGCGAGACTCCATGGCTTGCCAGTGCTTTATCTGCACAAAGCTTCCAGTGTTGCTTGTGGGTCCATTTCTGATTTGCACTATGTTTACACAAAGGCTCTCTTCATGCGCTGTGCGCCACACAGCAAAAACAAAACACTGTGGCTTCTTTGTTACATGTTATTTGTCTTCCAGATTGTTAGAGCACGTTGTAGTTTAAACGTACTTCCACACCGACCAGAGTTCAGCTGGGGAATGCTGCATATTTTGTAGACCTTCTTGTAACATTGGCAGGTGCTTTCTTTGCAAAAACTCTGAGCTTTGATACACAGATGAATGTGAATAGACATTTAAGACCTTTTCATCTTGTTCGATCCTTCTAGGTATAAAATATTGTGCAGGTAGAATAGAAGTATTCAAGGGGGCTTTGAACTCATTTTTCTTGAATGGCAACTACTCCCATGAAATACTACTTTAAAACTAAAGGGAGTTTCATTTCGGATGATGCAGTTTGTCATATGGCTGGGGAGGGACCATCAAATTTCACTGAATATGCTCAAAGCCTTGAGCTATCTCACAGTACCTCTTTTGTTACCAAGCTCTGTATTTAGTTATTTATAGTTTCTCCCTGAAAGCATAAACTGTTCCTACCTTGGTTTATCATATTGTTGATTTTCACTGCTCATTAGTGAAATTGCACAGTGCAATATGCTATTTATGAAGAGTGTATGTTTCCCCAAATAAATCCCTTCGATTGTGATATAAATGGCAGTAGCATGCTATGAATTTGTTGGCAGAAAGTAGCTGCAGCAAGCGACTGGTTCTTGCCATGCACAAATATTGTGCAATTTAGTACTGGTTTGCACAGCTGCTTGGCTAGAGTAAAGTTGTGCACTAGGAGAAGTACATCTCCAGCACAAAGTCTAAATACAACCCAAGAGAGATTACTTTGAAGTCAAGTGGCAGCTTGTTTTGTCTTTGGTCCAACTCAGCCCTTCATATGTGAACTATGTGCCCCAAAACAAGCTAAAGCTGGCACACCAAGCAGTACTTGTGCACCTGGTGTTTGTGTTTGGGAACTAGAACTTGTTGTTTGCATTTCAGTCTCTCCACTTCATGTGAACTAAGGAACAATGTCTCATTAGGGGTCTGGGGGAGATGTATTGTGAGACAGCTCATCGGGCACAGCAAAGAGTGCTCTTCCCAGAATGTAATCTTATCCACTGCATTTTTACTGCATTCTTCACATATATTTAATCCAAGTGACATGTCATCCTAATAATATTGTAATTGAGTACGTTCACAGGACTATTTCAGCAATAGTTTGTCTGTAAGCCTTTCTCCACTTGTAGACCATGGCTTTTTGCAGGTTTTTTTAAGGTAATGGACAGGGATCCAAAGATTAACGACAGCCCATGGAAAATTAATTTTGAAACCAGGGAGATACTTAGGGTCTTTTTGGAGATGGAATGGATTTCCTGCCAGTTTCTATCATTTCTCCTGAAACCATTGAAGCTTCCAGTTGTGATGGTGTGATTTGTCATGGGGACCATTTTTTCCTAATAGTAGGCTGCATCACTATTATTTTCATGCCTGTTTCTCACCTGACTCTAGCCTGGTGCAGATGTACCATTAGCTCCCTGCAAAGCATGGGTTGCAGAAACTTGCAGTTCCTCCCTTTTCCTTGCATTAACTATGGCTTTGCATAACCATGGTTTGTGATGGTGCACAGTAAACGCAGAGGTAATCCTGGTTTGCAAGCATATTTCAGCTTCTAGTCTACAAGGGAACCATGGCTGGTTTGACACAAATGTAAGGCAACCAAAGTGAACTCCAGGAAGGCAGTGGAGGAAGCGGGGGAGAGTTTTGAGGAGAGAGCACATGCTTCTGATGTGCAAACCATGGTTTGCATGAACCTAGCATTTAATCTGTATTGGAGTCAGGAGTCAGGATTGTGGCTAATTCAAACATTGTTTTTGTATGTGATGCACAGGTCCACACTCAGGTGTGCAGAGATGTGGAGTTTCTAAAATCAATGTGTGCGTGTACCTTTATATACATTATGAAGTAAATGCATGGTCCAACTTTCCAGGACAAAACCCCCCTATTACCACTAGCGCAGCTTTTCTCACTGTACAAAGCGCTCATCTTCATGTCCAAGCTTAGGTCAGCATTGACAAAAATGTAGTGCTGTAATCTGTATTCATGCAAGGATCTTTGAAATCAACTGCATTAGTGATTTCAGCCAATACTCTTAAAAAAAAAAATCAGGACCTGCATCCATTGTTTACATGCTATCTTTGTTTTGCACTTGTAATTGTAAGAGAAATTGCATTATATTTGGTATAGCTTAATACAAAGCCCTTTTTGTACAAGTGCATTTTAGGATTGAGGTCGTGTCTGAAGTACACCACAGGAAATTCAGTTTTGTAATTCCAGTATATTCATTTATGCCTATTTAACTACCCCCTCTCCCCCCCCCTGTTGCCCACTCAGAGATTCAGGAGAGGAATAGAGCAGGCTACTAATAAATTAACTGAAAGTTCACTTTTAACCTCAGATATAAACTGCATGTTAAAGATTTGTAAAGTAAAACCCTATACAGACATTCTGTCCGACGGACAGTGTTAGCTTTCAGCGCTTGCATTGGGACCAATGCACACACAGCTCAATGTGTATTGGACTGTAGCACATTGTGCTCTCCAATTTTGTGGTATACAGATCTTGTAGCTTGGGTGTTTGCAGATTGAGCTCTGTCTTTTTGCAAATGTGACATTGGGGCAGCACACTGGATCTACTGTGCATTGGATCAAATGTGTACAAAGATCCTTTCTCTTCCTGAGCTGAGCAGAACTTAAGTCATTCCCAAACCTCTTGTGTAAATTTAGCCCTGTTCAGTTCCATGGGAACAAATTACTGTGACGATTCTGTCTGCCCTTTATCTACAGCCACATTGAGCTGAAGCACTACATCCCCAAATCATGTTATGTTAAAGATCCATAGCCAGATATTCTAACAGTTGTGTAAGATTCAGAGCAGCTAGTCTCCCCCAAATTGGGTCTGCGTGGCGCTAGAGAAGGTAGAGTTATATTATTGCTTGCAATGTTTTCTCACTTGAAATTTGTCCCAAAGCTGCTATGGGTCATGTTGGGGGAAAGCCTTTTGATGCTCCCCCATGGGAGCTTTGGGAGGTGATTATGAGTGAGGAAACAAAAAGGGATTTAAAAACAACCCAGCCTCATTGCTTAGATCCAGTTCTCGCTCACATGCAGCCGCAAAGCCTCTGTCTGTCTGTCTGTCTGTATTAAGTTAGGGAGTCTTCCAACAAAATGTGTAGCTGAAATCCATGTACTTCAGACTGACTAGGTTGTGAATTGGGTTATACTGGAACAGGTGCTGCATTCGTTATGGTTTTAACTTCCTATAGTTCTGCGTTGAATGTAAAGCGAATCTTTGCATTGCTTACAGTAGCATAATTTAATGCAGTTAGGTTAGCAAATTTAATGTTTACAAGATGGTGACTGTTGATTGTAAGCTTCCATATCGATGCACTGCTTCCACTGGAAGGCTTGTCTGTCTACTTGCTTATGACAGTTAATGGTATTAATTGCCTTTCTTGACACAACCTCTTAAGTAGAACCCTTCAAAAGCTGTGGGCGGTTTTTTGTTAAAAAAATAAATTCTTTTGAAGACCAGGATGAGAAAAGTTTGTGTTGACACAAATATTGAATTAGAATATTTTTAAGAAGGTTTATATTTTCTGAAGATAATTTATAAGGAAGGTTTTCTATGCAATTATAGTAGCGTTGATGTAAATGATAATTCAGATATTCATTCTGTAAACAACTAAGAACCTATTTTCAGGGTTGTGCCCCTCCCCTTCAGACTTAATAAAAAGTATGTTTATAGGTCCCTTTAATGCTGCATTTTCTTGTAACATTTCAGTACATGCCAAACTTCATACACAAATATGGCTTCCAAGCAGGGAATTTTAATTTCCCATGTACATGCAATTGTATATGACAAGCACACATGCATATTTCCCTGTGTAAAACACACGTGATTGGAAACCCTAATCTGGGACAGTTGAGGTCCAGAGACATACTAAAATACATGTGTGTCGATCACAGTGGTTGCATGTGCTAACTGTGTGCATTATTTCCTATATGGAAAGTGAAATTTGGTTTGTATAAAGCTGGTCCTTTTCAGCAGGGAATGCTTTGCGCAGTGTTATGAGGTGGATTGCATGAATCATTTTATGTAAATCATGCTTGGTCCTTCTTGCATATCTACAGTTGAGAGAACTTGGAACAGCTGCTTAGCTTAAAATTTCCATATATGTCTGCATTGAGCTGTGCTCATTCTTCTCAGTCAGTGATTTTCAAACTGGCCCAGCCTGGTAAAAGTTTCAGAGTTGTATAGTACAAATAATGAATGTGCCCTAGAACACCCCATACAGAATTGCACTGCACAATTAATTCTGGCGGGCAAGCTGTCTTTCAGGGGAGCTTGTTCACCATTGTGTATTATCTCACCAAAGAGAATCTCTGATCAGCTTGCAAGGAATCTTAGGTTTAACCTCCACAGCACAGTTTGAAGACCACTGCTATGAGTATAATGTGCAAATTCTTCGTGTTTGGTCACCTCTTGATGATCCTGTTTGCTTAATTTTCCAATAATTTGTTTAAACCAGATTGTTCTGATGTGGCCTTGTTAGAATTTATTCACTTTCTACCAATTCTGGCCAAATCTATACAAACAAAGGACAGGCACAATTTTGTGCTTTTGGAGCCCATGACTGCTCTGTTTCCCAAAATAGCAACAGTATATATAATGTGTTAGAAATGAGCTGAGAGAAACTTAATTTGGCAAATGTTAAATGCAAAAATTAGTATTTTTTTCTGCTCATTTCTTTGTAACTAAGGGAAGATGTCTAGATACATTCTTGCTCTTGTTCGATGAAGGCTAAATAGGAACTATAATCTAGTGGAATTGCAAACTTCAGGCCACATCTACACTACAAATACATCAATTTTATTCCAGTGCGGTCGGGTATTAGAAGTCTAAATATATGCTGGGCACATATGTTCAGTGCTGTGGCTCATCTTGAACTGTAAAACATTTACTCATTTTGGTAGTAGATGCAGTGGTTCTCATACTCTGGAGTTACCCCCTTTTCCTCTTCGGTGATGTGGGGGGAAAGTTGCAGGGAGGTATTAGGCCCAGCTGTGGAAAAGGCCAGACACATTTTTGTCTTGGCAGCAGAGCCTGAGCTTTGCAGCCACCCAAACTTTGCTAACCCTGCAAGCTGTAGATAAGAGATCTTCTGGCCACGGAGCTTCCCTCCTTCCTGCTTCCTCCTATGGAAGACCTGGAGGTTCCGTGTTGTAGGACTAATCTAATGCTGGCGTTGAATTAATGGCTCAGTCCACAGATCCCACAGTGGGCTGAATACATGTCCTGATATGTGAGAGGTTGTGTGTGCTCACCAGCCAAAGAGATGGCTTTGAAAGTGCAGTAAGCTTAGAAGTGGGCCTGGGTTTTAAAAAATCAATCTGAGAAACACTGTGTGAGAAAGTTTGAGACCCATTTAAATAAGCTGAGCAAAGTTTAGTAGCGAATAGCTTTAAAAGCACCCCTGATTATGCCACAATGCAAAATTTACCACCTGCAATAGTTTGCCTATTGTGTAGTTCTTGCTCTTTGCAATCTGTGTGCTTAATAATTCGCTCGAGTAATTGTAAAATTATAACCATTAGGTGAACCGTTTCCACATTGTGTGCCTAAACAGAAGCTAGAAATGCACATCATATTTGTTTACTTGTTCTTCTGTCTTAAACAGGGTTTTTATTGTGTACTAGTTTCTAGATGTCTGCCTTGTAAACCCCTTCTTCTTGCCTTTGAATGATCAGTCCTGACACGCAATGACTGTAAAAGAATTATTTATATAGTGTGCTCTTTCTTTTTTTATTTAAATATCAGTTTGTCTTCAGAGTATATACTATATTCGTAGAGAGATTCTGTGTATATTTTTGCTACGTATTTGTGTTTGGTTTCATTTTGATTGTATGTATATTTTTGCACTGATTTGAAATTCTGTATCGATTGCTTTGTGAGTATTGACCATCTGATTAGAATTTGTCTGTGACAAATATAACTGCTAATTTCTGTTGAGCCCTGAATAAACTGGCCCTGTTGTGTTTTGTGGCAACAAGAAGGCTTGTGTACGCCTTGGGGCACTTCGAGTGTGTAAGAAACTGTTCCAGCTTAGTCCACAAATAACTAGCATCGCTATGTGTAAGCAGGTGAATGTGTCTCTGTTCCCTTTGGTGTAATAACTTGATAACGTCAGTTTATTTGCCAGGTTGTCTGTAAGGGAGACTTTGCACATCTCTCTCACCCATTCTGTACCCCCCCTGTGCTGGTCCTGGGGGCTACCGAGAGGCAAGGTCTGAGTCCAGTTCTAGGTCGATGGTGTGGTATGGAGGCTGTCCGTCAAAGCTGAAGCGGGGTCCAAGGCAGGGAGTTGGGTGAGGTCAGGAACTCTGGCAGAAGAGCAGGACAGGGTGCAGGCAGGAACAGGCTACCAACAATGTTGCTCCCGCAACCTGGGACTGGGGCTGGCTGGCTTTTATCTTCCCCGAGGCATAGGGCAGCCCCGGTCCACAGGTGACTCGCCTCTCCTGGCCTGGAGGCGAGCACTCCTCCTGCGGGAACTTAGTTCCCTCCGCCTCTCTGCCCTGAGCCTCTGCAGCTCAGGAGAGGCTGGAGGGTTACCGGACCCAGAGGCAACCTCACCTTCCCCTGACGGAGCTGAGAGTGGAGCACCTGCAGGCAATGGGTCCTCCATCACCTCAGGAGCCAGAGCAGGCTCAGCTGGTGCCTGCACCTGAGGATCCAGCACAGGTGAGGACCCTTCAGGCTCAAGCCCCAGCCCCGGCTCAGCTGGTTCTGGAGGCGGGGACTCCTGTGCAGGCTGGGATTCCTCAGGTTCAGCCTCTGAGTCTGAATCCCAGGCCATCACACCCCCCCTAAAAAAATCAACACTACAAAGTTACTAAGCACATTCAGCCTTCATAGGGTGGGGGGGTCCCCCCTTGCATTTCCCCCCTAAAGATTTTGCATCCTTTTGCAGATTTCTCCAGAGTCTGCTGGTACTTCCTTCTTGTGCATGGTTGATGCTTTCTTTGTTACATAAGCAATGCCACTCACAGCCTCACCGTCAGAAACATAATTTATTTAATTTAAACATTTATAGATCACTTTTCAAACAAAGTTTCATCAAAAGGAAATATGCCGTTGCCCAACGATGGGAGATACTGAAAATGAATCGTTACAGAACATTTGCATTCCCTTCTTTTTTCACAGAATTCAGGTTGGTATAAATATGCTTATTCCATTGAATTGCCCTTGGAGTGTAACACACTGGAAGAATCAAAATAGCCACTCTTAGTGAGTCTCAGACGCTTACACATTTCAGCACCATCACTAAGGATTAAATTGTCTTTTAATGGGGGTAGACTCTTCCTGCATTCTGTCTTGAAAAAGACACTCTCCAACTGCTGCAGGGAATTTGGGCTGTACTTGTGTGAAGTTTCCTGTTAAGATAACCATCATCTTTTGCTCCAGTCAGTTCCCAAAGACTTGTAACTTACTGTGCAGCTGTGGCACTTGGGGTCTCAAAAGTCTTAAAGTTTTCTTGAGGCACTTGGGTTATTCCAGATTTCAGCTAGAAGCAGTTCATTTTTCTGCTGTTACTGCAACATCCTCTTCTGATTTGTTGACGGAGAAGTCGTGAGATACTTCTGCAAAGATCCTCCTGTAATTAGTGTGAAAGGCAGCCACAAAGAAACATGCTGCCAGACTGCAGATTCCAGCCATCATTAGGGTTGAAGCTGTGATGAGAAAGGGAGGATATTTCTACAGATGTATTGAGAATGAAACCCAGCAGCTTAAAAATATATGAGAATTACAAGATCAGTTTAGGAACTCCAGCTGCAATCCTGAGCCCACTTACCTGGGAGTAACTGCTAGGATTGCATAGTAAGTTAGGTCAGCATCAGTAACTATAGACCAGCTACCCAAACTTATTCGTTAATTTCTGTTCATATTGAAAATTCAATCTTAAATCTACTAGAATGTATAACCGACTAAAATCAGCCATTATGCACTTTGAAGAAAATGTGTAACTGAGTAGAAAAACAATGGCATAATGAACTATAGCAAAGATGTAATGGTTTTTTTAAAAAGAAAAGGTAAAGGACCCCTGGAAGATCTAAGTCCAGTCAAATTTGACTATGGGGCATGGTGCTCATCTCTGCTTTCAGGCCGAGGGAGGCGGCATTTGTCCACGGACAGCTTTTCCGGGTCCTGAGCCAGAGTGCATGGAAACACCGTTTACCTTCCCGCCGCAGTGGTGCCTATTTATCTACTTGCACTGGCATGCTTTTGAACTGCTGGGTTGGCAGGAGCTGGGACAGAGCAACGGGAGCTCACTCCATCACAGGGATTCAAACCGCCGACCTTCCGATCGGCAGGCCCAAGAGGTTCCGTGGTTCAGACCACAGCACCACCCGCGTCCCTGTATGTGATGGAGAATGCAGTCTCTCAGCGCTGCGAGACAAAATCTCAGTTGCTGCTATGCAGAGACGAAAAGAGAGGAGGGCCTCAAAATACATATAAGACCTTAAGAGCAACTAAAATAACTGCATCTCAAAAATCACAAGAAAATCACACAGTGTAAACCCAGGGTGGGGAACCCTCTTCGGTCTGAGACCTTGTTGACAATCTGGTGGGTGAGTGACAAATGTGAATTTACTCTTGTGCAGCTGGCGCACAAACTCTCCTTACCATCTGGGCAGGAAAGACATTATCAGAGTTCACGGTCACATTTTTGCCAGGCAAAAGCAAGTATAGTGAAGCAGGGCTGCTGGGGTCTGTGTCCAGGGGCGAGTCTTGAGGGCCGGATAGAGAGGCCCTTGACTGGAGGTTCCTCCAGCCTAAAAAGCTGGGGGACTCCTTATTTGCAGAACCTCAGTACAGTGGTACCTTGGGTTACAGACGCTTCAGGTTACAGACTCTGCTAACTCAGAAATAGTGCTTCAGGTTAAGACCTTTGCTTCAGGATGAGAACAGAAATCGTGCAGCGGCGGCGCAGCAGCAGCAGGAGGCCCCATTAGCTAAAGTGGTGCTTCAGGTTAAGAACAGTTTCAGGTTAAGAACGGACCTCCGGAACGGGATTAAGTACGTAACCCGAGGTACCACTGTACCCACACCAAGGCAGGGAAGGGAGCAGGTCAGGGAAAGAGACCTCTACTGCCATTGCTGTGCCTCAACCAACTGCCTCCCCGCCCCCCTGCAGCTGATATTCACCCCTGAAGGAAACCTCCACAGGTGTGTGTGTATGTGAGAAGAGAGAGGATATATTTATAATACATAAAATAAACACATAACAAAAACTTACTTGACCAGTCTAGTGCTTTGCCGATGGCTGAGGTGCAAGTAGAAAACGGGGCGTCCTTCTTTTCCACAGCCAGGCTTTGCAGCAAAAGCATTAACACAACACCTAGAAGTTGGCTGTGGAAACAAAAACAGTCCATCATGCAGGTCTCCTTTTCATGGTTATGTCACACCCACACCCCATGTCCAAGTCTGGCTCTTTTTTGTGTGCACGGGGGAGGGGGGAATATATTGTCTGTAACAGTCAAGATTCACTTTTATGTCTAGAGCAGACATTTTGGGTGGTACTCCGTGCTAGTCCTGCGCAGACTAGACCCGCTGAAGGGAATGGGCGCGACTTAGAATCATAGGGTGGTAGTGTTGGGAGGGTCCCAAGGGTCATCTAGTCCAACCCCCTGCCATGCAGGAATAAAGGGAAGAGAGGAGTTCAAAACCATTCCCACTTCTTCGAGAGAAGGGGCAACACCAGAGGATTCAAGAATGCTCCGCTTCAATGTTCTGTTTCTGCAGTCTGAAAAGCCTTGAAATGATTAGAAGCTTAAACTTTGGTTCGAGCGGCTGATTCCCCCATGTATGAAGAGCCCTATTTTTAAAAAACGAGTTAAATACTGTATTTTTCGCCCCATAGGGTGCACCGGCCCATAGGGTGCACCTAGTTTTTTTGGGGGGAAATAAAGGGAAAATTATTCCCCCCCCGAGCTTCTCCCGACCCCAGCCCCCAGAACAGGCTGCTCTCCGCAAGCCGGCTAGGCGCGCTGAGCAGTCACGCCCACGCTTCAGGTAGCTCTCCGCAAGCCGTGGGAGCCCGGCGGGAACTCCTGTGCGCTCCCAAGGCTTGCGGAAAGCTTCCTGAAGCCTGGAGAGCGAGAGAGGTTTGTGCGCACCGACCCCCATCGCTCTCCAGGCTTCAGCGAAAGCCTGCATTCGCCCCATAGGACGCACACACATTTCCCTTTCATTTTTGGAGGGGAAAAAGTGCGTCCTATAGGGTGAAAAATACGGTAATTTCAGTGGCTCGGCTCTGGGGAGGATTTAGCTGAATTGCCACCCTCTGTGTACAGTGGTACCTCGGATTTCGAACGTAATCCATTCCAGAAGACCGACCAAATTCTGAAACGTTTGAAAACCAAAGCATGCATTTCTGGAAGCATTTAAGTCCGGAAAACTCTACGGAAGCTGCATGGCACGTTCGGCTTCCGAAAAGCTTCCCAAGACCAAAGCAGTTACTTCCTGGTTTTCAGCGTTCGAAAGCCGAAACGTTCAACTTCCAAGACGATCGAAAACCAAGGGGCCACTGTAGATGCCCCATCAAGTCTCGGTAGGAGATATGCCAGCCAGCCAGATACAACTACTGTGGCGATTCTCCTCCCCATCCGGCATCCTCTACTATTTCTGAGTCCAGTGATGGCCCTACAGGAAAGCTGTCTGATGCTTTCCCTTCACATCCTGTACTTGCCCATATATGGGGTTCCCCTTGCCCATATATGGGGAATTGCATCACAGGAAACGCCACTGCAAACTTGCCAGCTGTGCAAAGGAGCAGGTGCTGAAGATGTTTGGAAATCGGCTGCCTCTGAAGGAGCCAATGCTAATTCAGCCTCCTGCGGAAAAGGAGCTTTCCCTGCCGCCTTCCCAACTGCTACCTAACCAGTCTGTTTTCTTGAAACCGGCATTTCTTGAATGAGGTCGTGTGTTGCAGTGTTATCTGTGCATTGAAACCACTGTAAGCCAAGCATCCTGTTGATACAGCCCTGCCGCTCTGGAAAAGGTGTCTCAATGGCACAGAATCGCCAATACCTGCATGTGCATGAAGTCCCTCTCACAATAAGCCCATATAGCATAGAATCATGGAGGGAAACCTGGAGGAAACAATGCACAAGGCACAGTCTGCAATGCAGGATGCAACCGCAGCATCCCTGAAAGATGGCTATCTGGCCTCTGCAGCGAAGGTGAGTCTCTCACCTCTTAAGGCAGCCAGTTCCACTGTTAGAACTTTTCTCCTTAATGTTTAGCCAGAATCGGTCTCCTTGCAATTTCCACCCACTGGTTCTGGTCCTGCCCTCTGTAGCAACAGAGATGGAGTCTGCTCCAGCTTTGGCCTAAAAAGACCTTCAGAGATCTGAAGACACTGGCCATGTCTTCTCTTTCACTCGGAAGTAATTAGTGATGTTCAGGGTCGGGGAACCTTTTGCAGGACGGGGACCAAATTCTCATCCGGGCAGCCGCCTGGGGGAGCACATGCCAGAGGCAAGAGTGGGTGGAGCAAAGAATTGTACCGTTGGCTAATTTCTACACACACACACACACACACACACACACACACACACACACACCTTTATTCAGGCAACCAAGAGGTATTATGAGAGTTCAGAGGCACATTTCAGCCAGGCATAAACCCTCAAAAGTAGGACTGAAGAGGCTGTGATGTCATGGAATGGCTGGATGCAGACGAGCGGAGGGAGACCCCAACTGGGGAACCCCCAGGGGAAGAAGGTTCAGAGTCAGGGGAGTGGTGGTGTGATGACAACGAGCGGTCAGAGGGAGCAGACTGGGAGAAGGTGGTGTCAGAAGCTGAAGAGGCAACAGGGTTTAGTGAGCAGGGAGAGGCTGTGGCAGAGAGCAGTTCAGAATCAGAGGCAGGAGAGGAGCGGGGCCAGGCGACACGAGATGAGGCAGGCTGCTGAAGAAGCCAGGGAGCCTCCCCCTCCTGCTGCAGCCAGCTCCCTCCCCCAGGTCTCCCAGTACACGGAGAGGAATGAAGAGGACAGAGCAAAGAGAGACAAGAAGGCACAGCTTTAGGCTACTGGGGAGGGAACCAGGGGAGGAGCCTTAGAGAGTGGTGGGAAGGCGGAGATGCCTCATTGGGGCAAGACTACTGGGAAATGTTGCTGTGACCACTAGGCCTGTGTTGTTTTGGTTTCTGTGAATAAAGAGTTCACTGACACCGGGTGTTTTATTGCTGACCTGCCCAATTCCAGCTCCTGGCAGTGGCCTGGGGAGAATCCCATGGGCCACACAAGAGAGACCTGGACAGCTGCAACTGACGCCTGGGCCTGAGTTTCCCCTTCCCTTCCCTGCTCCAGTTCTTCTTTAACCTTGGCCTGGCAAACGTTTGGAAAGAATCCGTATATTACCACTACAACTATGCAGCGCGTAGTACAGAGGAAATCGGGTGTCCTGATTCTGCTACTTACCTGATCACAAAAATCAGCCCTGACGAGGATCCTTCCCCCACGGGATAAGAACATTCGACCGCTAGTTCCATAGCGACAGGATAGATAGCAAATCCAAAGAACCCGAAGAGTGAGCTGATGGTTGCCAAAGCATAGGTCTGGTTTCTCAGCTGAGACACCTGCATGAAGAGAGTCTAAATTGAGTACCGACAAGGCTGCAGAATTGACATTCAGCACTTCATCGTGGGTGTGCGCCCCCAGTAATGGCAATTTAAGAGACCTAGTATTAATGGCATTTACCACTGCAAATCCAATGCTAGCCAGCGCAGCCAGACAGAGAAAGACCTTGGTAGCTTCTGTGAATTTCTTTGTCCGGTCAACGTACAGCCCAAGGCAGAAGGCCCCGATGAGTCCGGACACAATGAACAAGGCGCCGCTCAGACCTGCAAAGAACTGTAAATGAGGGATTGATTAGATGCCATGGGCAGACTCCAGCGAAGAGCGAACCCACTGAAACCAGGGAGTGGAGTTGGACAAAGTAGATCCACAACTGCAAGGACTTCCACAACTGTGCAAGGACTTCCACTCCTATCCTGCTCCTCCCCCCAAACCCTTCCCAAACCTTCTCCAGAACGTTGAGGAGCCCCAAAAGCAGATAGAGGAGATGCACATAGTGGAGAGGAGAAGGCAAGGAAAAGCCATCGTGCAGCCAAAAGACCTTGCACTAGCACAGTGTTTCCCAACCGGTGTTCCGCGGCACACTAGTGTGCCGCGAGACGTTGCCTGGTGTGCCGCGGGAAAAATTGGCGGGGGGGGAATAAAGGGGGGGGAAATTATTCCCCCACCGCCAGGCGTGGGGCTGGGGCGGGGGAAGCCTGAGCTTCCCCCTCCCCCAGAACGGGACCCAGAGCCATGCCGAAGCTGCGCGCAGCTTTGGCATCGCTCTGGGAGCTTGCGGGGCTGGGGGAGGAGGAAGCCCTCCGCCAGCCTCCAAACCATGTCGGGAGACAGCGGGATGGCGCGCTGCGCCTCTCCCGCTGTCCCCCGAGTTTGCAGGGCTGGCGATGGGGAGGAGCAGGCTTCTCCCCCGCCAGCCTTCCAGCCAAGTCGGGGGGCAGCGGCAAGGGCGCGCTGCGCCTCTCCCGCTGTCCCCCGAGTTTGCAGGGCTGGCGATGGGGAGGAGCAGGCTTCTCCCCCCGCCAGCCTTCCAGCCAAGTCGGGGGGCAGCGGCAAGGGCGCGCTGCGCCTCTCCCGCTGTCCCCCGAGTTTGCGGGGCTGGCGATGGGGAGGAGCAGGCTTCTCCCCCCGCCAGCCTTCCAGCCAAGTCGGGGGGCAGCGGCAAGGGCGCGCTGCGCCTCTCCTGCTGTCCCCCGAGTTTGCAGGGCTGGCGATGGGGAGGAGCAGGCTTCTCCCCCCGCCAGCCTTCCAGCCAAGTCGGGGGGCAGCGGCAAGGGCGCGCTGCCTTTCTCCGCTGTCCCGGGAAGGCAGGCAGGGGGGAGCAAAGGCTTTCGCCCCCGCCCGCCTTCAGAAGAGGTCAAGGACCTTCAAAAGCCATCCGGGACAGCGGAGAAACGCGCTGCCTTTCTCCGCTCTCCCGGGAAGGCAGGCAGGGGGGAGCAAAGACTTTCGCCCCCGCCCACCTTCAGAAGAGGTCCAGGACCTCTTCTGAAGGCGGGCGGGGGGCGAAAATCTTTGTCCCCCCTGCCTGCCTTCCCAGGGGCTTTTAAATCGCCCCGGACAGCGGAGAAGTCCTCCGCTGTCCCGGGCAATTTTAAAATGCCGCTCGCCAGCATTTTAAGATTGCCCCAGACAGCGGAGAAGTCCTCCGCTGTCCCGGGGTTTTTTAAAATGCTGGGGATGGGAAGAAAAGCCCTTGTCCCCCACCCCCCCAGCCTTCAGAAGAGGTCGGGGGACAGACTGTCCCCGGACCTGGTCTGAAGGCGGTTTCCCTAGGAACGCATTAATTGATTTTCAATGCATTCCTATGGGAAACCGTGCATCGCAAGACGAAAAACTCGCAAGACGAAGAGACTTGCGGAACGAATTAATTTCGTCTTGCGAGGCACCACTGTATCTGGAGAGGCGGCCTTCAGGCGAGTTTTAATTTTAATTTTCCTTCTCCCACTTAATGCCCCACGCTCGCCCGAGCAGCTTGCAGTCCTCGGTAACCATGGCGACCCGAGGGAGGGGAGGGAACAGGGAAGTCGAGGGCGGCGGCGAGCCCCGGCTAGTGGTGCGAGCTTCAGAATAAGTGGGATCCGCGTGCGCGAGACCGAGATCGCGGGTAAGGAGCTCAGCCCTGGGCAGGAGGAAGCGGGGCCGCGCGTGCGGGCCACATCCCCACAGAGAGCGAGCCTCCCCCGGCCCACCACTCCGGGCAGGTCCACTCGCATGAGGGGGCGGCGATGGCGACGGCCGGCAGCTTGCCTGCAATGCCATCCCTCGAGCAGGCGAGGAGCCCGGAGGCTACCAGATGCGAGTCCTCTTTCCCACCCTGCTCGGGAGTCCAGAGCACTTGGTCGCATTCAGGATCTAGAGTGGGGAAGCGGGGCTTGTGTCTGGGGTGGACACATTGGGCTGCCTGTGCCGCTCGACCTGCGGGGAGAAATCAGGGTGGGAGTCACGACCGTGAGGCAGGGCTGCCAAGTGTGGCAGAAGAGGACACGGCCGTCGCACCTGTCCTTAGGTAGGAGCTTCTTCCGTGTCGACCTGCTGCCCTAAAGTCTTGGCTTTTTTCTTGGCTTTTTGGCGGTTGGCACAGAAGGAAGGCAAGGGGGAGGGGAAAAAATTGAAACTTACACTTTCGTGCGTCCCTCCCGGCGTGACGCTGCGCACTGACGTCACGGGGCTGTAATGGTGGTGTGCCTCGAGATTTTTTTCATGAAACAAGTGTGCCTTTGCCCAAAAAGGTTGGGAAACACTGCACTAGCAGATCGACTTTGTTGGGAGACCCATAGCAGTGCCCATAGATTTCAATGAGCCTACTTTGATGGCGATTTAGTTGGCGTCAACCCAATAATTACGGCTCCTAAGAATAAGGTGCAGCATACTTCCCTCGCCCCACCCTGTCTCCCTTCACTGGAAAGCAATCAAGAGTCTTCTGATCTGGTTGTTAATTATATCGTACCAGACAAGATGGCGCTACACAGGGTCTCTGTAATGAAGGGATCCAAATTGCTTCATTTTAAAGCACAGAAAATAAAGCTACATTTTTTATTTGCTTGATATTTATCCAACTAACATTAGTTTAGTTGTATTTTTTCAAAGCAGCCGAATTATCAATATTTGTAATGATAGCATACTGAAGGCTAGAAATGAAGGCAATTTCCCCCCCGAACTCACAGTACCAGGCAGATCCTGTATTTATTTGAACCAAAGGATCTCCCCAGATCACTTATTACATTTTGTCCATTTACTTAGTACTTTTGTCCATTTACTGTGTTTATTTTCCCCGATTTGAACTAGAAAATGGTGATTTTCTTGAGTCAAAATGAGAGTACCCCTAAGCATTATTATTTTTTAGAGAGAAAAAAGCACTGGGTGAAAGATTCCTGCATTGCAGGGGGTTGGACTAGATGACCCCCCGGGGTCCCTTCCAACTCTACAAAGCTGTGATTCTGTGAACCCAATGTTCACTCCCTGGCATCTCCAAGAATGACTGGGAATGTCCTCTGCCTGAAACCTGGACAGTCGGTGTGCAGACAATGCAAAGCTAATCTGGCTTGGTCTAAGGCAGAGTCTTCTTTTTCTATTGTGGAAGGACTACAGTTCAGTGGGACAGCATCGGCTTAACATACAGAAGGTTCCAGGTTCAATGGCTGGAGTATCCAGGTAGGAGAGGCAGCGCTGATGAAAACCTCGCTGCAGAGTTTCACAAAAACACGCCCCACCCCAGCCGCCGCGGTCTCTGCACATCTTCCCGCTTCTCCCTGTGATAGGCTGAAGCTGAATTCCTGCAGTCCCCTCCCAGGTTGTCTTCTCGATCTCCCGGCTCCACCTGCCCGCCCTTGAGCTCGCAAGACAACAAAAAGCCACAGATGAAATCTGGAGTGACTTACATTTGAATATCCATTAACACACAGGATCTGTTCCAACAGAGCACTGAAGCAGGTGAATATTGCTATCCCTGTTGCGACGGAAAGGGCCAGGATGATGTAAGCTGTATTTCGCAGGAGCTAAAAACGGAAGACAAGGCACAAGTTGTTGGGGGGGGGGGAACAGCAGATCGTTCACCAGCAAGCTGGTATACACATTTATACAGAGTCTGCTAAAACTTGCAACTTGTTTTCCAGTGTAACTGACCGGTCTGCTGGAAACCTTAGACTTTTGTCAAACTAAGAGAAAGTTTGAGCATGGGTAGGCAAACTAAGGCCCAGGGGCTGGATCCGGCCCAATTGCCTTCTAAATCCGGCCCGTAGACTGTCTGGGAAGCAGTGTGTTTTTACATGAGCAGAATGTGTCATTTTATTTAAAATGCGTCTCTGGGTTATTTGTGGGGCATAGGAATTCGTTCATTCCCCACAAAAATATAGTCTGGCCCCTCACAAGGTCTGAAGGACAGTGGACCGGCCCCCTGCATAGGCATAGCCAAGATTTTTGTTAGGGGGGGCAGAACCTCAGATTTGTACAGTCATAAAGGTAAAGGTAAAGGTACCCCTGCCCGTACGGGCCAGTCTTGACAGACTCTGGGGTTGTGCGCCCATCTCACTCAAGAGGCCGGGGGCCGGCGCTGTCCGGAGACACTTCCGGGTCACGTGGCCAGCGTGACAAGCTGCATCTGGCGAGCCAGCGCAGCACACGGAACACCGTTTACCTTCCCGCTTGTAAGCGGTCCCTATTTATCTACTTGCACCCGGGGGTGCTTTCGAACTGCTAGGTTGGCAGGCGCTGGGACCAAGCAGCAGGAGCGCACCCCGCCACGGGGATTCGAACCGCCGACCTTTCGAGCGGCAAGCCCTAGGCACTGAGGCTTTTACCCACAGCGCCACCCGCGTCCCTTGTACAGTCATACCTCGGGTTGAATATGCTTTGGGATGAGCGCGTTCAAGTTGCGCACTGCAGCAACCCAGAAGTAACGGAGCGCGTTATGTCCGGGTTTCGCCGCTTGCGCAGACGCTCAAACTGATGTCACACGCATGCGCAGAAGTGCCAAAACATGACCTGCGAACGCACAGACACGCGGACACGGGTTACGCTTGCTTCTAGATGCGAACAGGGCTCCGGAACGGATCCCGTTCGCATTTAGAGGTACCACTGTATTGATTTTTACTTATTTGGGGGACAGCTGCCCCCTTGGCTATGCCCATGGAAGGAAACAAGGTCGGAAGTGGGCCATGGTCAGAAAAACACTGATCTAATATGACACAACAGTTTCTTTCTTTCTGTCCTATAGAGACACGTGGCATTCGTTGTACCTTTATCTGAGTTAATAATTCTGCTTTGCTTGCAACATACCATCTTCAAGCCCCTGAAGAATGACGGCGAATTGGAGTGGCTAGCGCTTGCTGACGGCGGCGTTGGCGGGACCTTGTCACGAACGCCCAATGTGGCTAAGGCACAGGCGAAGACAGCAGGCCCTGCGTACACTCCAAGCTGCAGAAAGCAGGAGGAGGAGGAAGAGGAGAAATGGTTTAACTCATCTGCCAAGGATATGTAAGCGGTGCAGAATACTAAAATTGATTAGCTTTCATTTACCATTAAAGGGATATCTTTTCCTCCCTGTACAAGCGCAGGTGACAGCAAGTTAGCGATGAGAATGCCCAAGGGATTGGCTAAATGGAAATTAAAGAGAGAGAGAGAAATATGTGACTTCTCCCTCCGAAGCAGCTGAAATATAATGCCGAGCATTTAAAAAGCAAGCCAGCTGACTGGAAAGCAAAAGGAGAGGCCACACGCCTATGCAGGATTAGAACTCAGGACCTGCTTTGGAACCCCTTTCATTGGGGGGCTTCTCAGGTGTGTGATTTGAGGGCTGCTCCTCCAAAGATATCCCTATGGTGATACCAGGTATTTGGGGCCCTCTTCTTCAAGACCCCTTAAAGACACTAATAAATCGCAGGTGAATAAGTTTCTGAACTGCACCACTTCAGATAGCACTTGGGGGAATGGCTTTCCATAGAAAAGAATTGATTCACACAGAAAACTAGGATGATGGGGGAAGAATTCTAGCCTGGCTTCCTTCCTGACATGCTGATTTTCTATGTGGGAGATACAGTCAGTGGCGTAGCGTGGGGGGTGCAGGGGGGGCCGGCCGCACCGGGTGCAACATCTGGGGGTTAGGGTTAGGGGCGCAAATCCACGGGTTAGGGGGCACAAATTACTTGCCTTGCCCCGGGTGCTGACAACCCACGCTATGCCACTGGATACAGTCAAGCCTTGGCTCCCAATCGGCTCCTTTTTGGAACGTTTCGGTTCCTGAATGCCGAAAACCCAGAAGTAAATGCTCCAGTTTTCGAACGTTTTTCAGAAGCCGAACATCCAACGCGGCTTCTGCTTGAGTGCAGGAAGCTCTTGCAGCCAATCGGAAGCCGCGCCTTGGTTATCGGACATTTCAGAAACCGAACGGGCTTCCAGAATGGATTAAGTTTGACAACCGAGGTTTGACTGTATTGCTTTCTCCTTTCTTGAATGGTTCCATGCAGTCATATGTTTCCAGGCTGACTGCTATTCCTCTGAAGGAGGTCCCAGTCCTCTGAGGGAGCAGGTGAGGAGCTGGGGGGGAGGGGCACTTCTGAATCCATTACTGTTGATTTGAAGTTCAAGTGGCCATGTTGCCACAGAGTACCTTCTATCAGCTTCAGCCGGAGGGCCAGCTCTGGCACAGTCTGGGCAAGGACAGCCTAACTTTGGTTGTCTACGCTCTGGTAACCTCTGGGTTGGACTACTGCAATACATTATATCTGGGGCTGCCTTCGGAGACGGTTCGGAAACTGCAGCCGGTGCAGAATTCGGTGGCGAGTCTGACGACCAGGGCAGTGTGGTCTGAGCATTTAACACTGATTCTGGCTCGACCTGCCCTGACCCAGTTACTTACACATGGAGGCAATCATATTGGCCGTGGCCCTTTGGTGTTCTGGGAACCATAAGGCTGCCAGTTTGGTGGGTGAAAAAATGATGAGCGGCTGGGCCGTGCCGCAGAGGCATTGTCCCACAAGCAGGTACACAAAGTTGAGGGAGCCCAGATCCAGGAAATCGAGGATGCTGAAAATCCGAATTACACTTCCCATCATGTTCAGCCAGGCGCAGAGTATCACCTGCAGTAGAATAAACCATGTCACCAACACTGATTTCAAGCAGCCATCCATGAGAAATAAATGTCAACAATTGAAATTCCAGAACTACCGTTTTTTTTGTCTATAAGACGCACCTTTTCCCCTCCAAAAATTAAGGGGAAATGTGTGTGTGTCCTATGGAGCGAATGCAGGCTCCTTGGCTTCAGCGATAGCAATGTGAAGCCTCCGAAGTGCAGAGGGAGCGCTCCCTCCGTGCTCCGGAGGCTTCGCGTTGCTTTCGCTGAAGCCTGGAGAGTGAGAGGGGTCAGTGCACGCCAACCCCTCTCGCTCTTCAGGCTTCAGGGATAGCTGCCTGAAGCCTCTGGAGCGCAGAAGGAACTTGCGCTGTGCTCCGGAGGCTTTGGGTTCCTTTTGCTGAAGTCAGGAGAGCAAGACTCTCCTGGCTTCAGAGAGAGGGAGAGCTGCGCAGCGCCCCTTCAGCCAAGCGGGAGGAGAAATGGAAGGGGCTCCGTTTCTCCTGCCGCTTCGCTGAAGGGGCGCTGAGCAGAGAGGGGGAGAATTTTTTTTTCTTGTTCTCCCCCTCTAAAACAAGGTGCGTCCTATGTTTGGGTGCATCCTATAGAGCGAAAAATATGGTGTTTCATTTCCCTACATTTCTTTTCCGACAGGCAGATGGTCTATAAGGCTGGCAGGGCATTGAGAGTGAGGGTAGCACATCGGCTGAAAGACCTGAATTGTGTACCTGGGCGCCCTTTAGGTCAAACTTCATACAGTTCACTAGCTGGCCTTTGGGAAAGCGCTAGAGGGCTTTGTACCAACGATCCCCAGATGGTGGAGATGTCGAGCACAATCCTGACTCCTAGGCACCTTCACTTAAACGGCCTCGGTCCTGTATACCTGAAGGAGCGTCTCCACCCCCATTGTTCAGCCCGGACACTGAGATCCAGCGCCGAGGGCCTTCTGGCGGTTCCCTCATTGCGAGAAGTGAGGCTACAGGGAACCAAACAGAGGACCTTCTTGGTAGCGGCGCCCACCCTGTGGAACACCCTCCCTTCAGATGTGAAGGAAATAAGTAGCTATCCTATCTTTAAAAGACATCTGAAGGCAGCCCTGTTCAGGGAAGTTTTTAATATTCAACGCTGTATTGTTTTTAATACTTGATTGGGAGCCGCCCAGAGTGGCTGGGGAAACTCAGCCAGATGGGCGGGGTATAAATAATAAATTAGTATTATTATATTATTACTTAGTCACAAGTGGTTGAAAGCCAGGTACAGAACATACCTGGCACCTGGTTAATCTTGAACACTGGCCTGAAGCCGTGGGAGTGGGAAGAGAGAGAAAATTCACCTTTGTGCAACTAGCTAGTTTCTACACAGACGCAAAGTCCTCTCTGTCTGGGCTAGCAAAAGGCATTATCAGAGTACAAGGGCACATTCCAGCCAGGCAAAAACACTCAAGGGAAGGTGAGAAGGAGGGCTGGGGAGAGCTGCAAGAGCCTGAGAGAGACCTGGAAGGCTGGATTTGGCCCCCAAGCCTGTAGTTCCCCACCCCAAATCTAAAGCACACCTTGTGTCCTCTTGTGATTGTGTCTTCTGCAAGACGTCAGCAGCAGGCGCAGTCATACCTAGGCTCCCTTGCACCCTTGTAGACCAGTATGAAGTAAGCAGCACATAAGCGGCACACAAAACACTACCAAATCATTCTACGTTCTAAATCTTAGCCAGGCTAAGCGAATAAAAATAAAATAAAAAGCTTAGTAAATGAACAAATGCTTAAGTCAAGGAAGAACTTAGCACATGAAGTTGAATGTATGTAAAAACACCAAAATCTTGAAGGAGAATTTCCTGAAGAAAGAAATTAAATATTG